TAAACAATGTCATTTTGCTCGAAGAAAAGATAGCTTAATACCCTTTTATTTTTTATACGTCATTGCACCTCCTGCTTACAAGGAGACCTTGGTTTGGTCGATCGATATTCAGTGAGGCTCTACTGACAATGTTCTCAGGTATGAAATCATATAGAATACATGCGTTCCTCGTTTATATCGGATTCCTTATCTTCACAAAAATGTTCGTAAAAAATCAACAGAATATATGTGGCTTAGCTCGTTTTCCTAACCCTTAACCAAGATTTCTGCTACTGTTTTCAGTACTGTGCTATTGCCTCCTTCACAAGTTCAAATGATTAATGTTTTAAGAACTCAAAATATTTTTTGCTCAACCTTGCTGAACTATAGTACTCTAGTGCAAACAAAAGGGACACTTACGTTCTCTTGTAATTTAAGGTTTTGTTACAGAGAATTGCAATACAAAGACGTACTTATATTTATTGACTGAATCTCGAGATTGAGTAAATGTTTGGTTGACGGTCCAAATAAATTTTTTGAGATTTGCTTCTTATGAGAATTTATCAAAACTGGTACGGGTATGTTGTAAATATAATGTTATTATCTTTACAAAACATTTTTTTTTAATGTCACCGTATAGATCCACAAGGATTGGAAATCAAGGCCACAACAGACTCCTCTGCATCAACCGCTTACCTCATATTTCTCCTTTTAAGTGGTTAATATCCCTACCATGAATGTCATCAGTGATCCCTAATGTACCAAACTATGATGTTTACAAGTCGCAATTTATTCGTTAATTAAGAGGCTGTTCCCATTATTACGTTTCCGAATTATAATAAGATATTCCATGGCAACTGACTGAACAACTTTACTTTTACTTTACATTAAAAGGTCACTATCTTTTCTTTGTTGTTTTTGTTTTCACATGAACTCAAAACTTCCCTTCTCCTGCAAGTCTGTTTTAATGCATTCATTGTTTTTACTTTCTTAAGTAGTTAACGCCGGGTGTCTTACCTAATCTGTTTTATCGCTTTAATGACTTCGTCTCTTAAAAAGGTTTGAAAAACAACAAAATATATTCTTACGAAGACAAATTATACCTGTATTTTGGATGAGTTATATTTTAGTATTCCAATGCCAAGGTCATGTTTTATCGTTTTACTATTAACAGTAAAACTTGTTTGCATAAGAGTGGGTAGACTGTGGGGTGGTAGTGCTTGTTTCAAATGAGAGTATGGTTGAATATATGTGAATAGCATTTCCGTCATAACTATGCTAGACGCCACGTACGGCACCATAGACTTTTTGCACATCTTAAATGTTCTTATTGCACCTCTGACTAGAATGCATTGATCTGATTGTACGTTGCTTGCCCCCTATAAATCTATAGGGGGCAGCTGAATATATAGGGGGCAATGGCCGCCATCCATTATCTCTGAAAGGCGTCACTTCGTAATTTCAAATCACAGATTGGCGATATTCACATTCTGTTCCGTGTCGGAATATTGGCTAGAGTGAATCCTAGAAGTTGCTATTATCTAGTATGAGTTGTTTCCCCTACACGAAGCACCTATTTGACTCGGATCGAAAATGGCTGGGCGGTTCGGGCAGGCGACAGCTGCAGACAAGGAAAAAAAACGCCTGGCACTTAACGCTGATAAGACGTTAAAAGCTAATAAGTTGGCCGCTAAAGTGTTCAAAGATTATTTGGTGGAAAAGCAGCAAAACCCAGATTTTGAAGATTACGATGTAGTCCGACTGGACGAATGTCTTGGCCATTTTTACATGGATACCAGGAAATGTGATGGGACGTATTATATATATATTTAAAAGGGTCCTTGGTGCAATAAATTCGTTATGTAGTTTGCTAGTGACCCCCTACAGGAATATAGGGGTTCACTAGCAAACTACATAACTAATAATGGACATATCAGGGTCTGTTTGAAAGGTTTTGTTGGATGGTAGGATCAACATTTGGTTAAGATAACACGCCACTGTGGTGCATTTTAAACGATAAAGATAGTTCCGTTTTCATCACGACTAGTACATCCTTTAGTTCCTGTTCTAGATACAGCGTCCAACAAAAGTGTCGGGCTGTGTATTTAAACACCATTAATATGTTATACAAAAGTTCTCAATTACCAACTTTAGGGCCTAAAAGAGCATTTTCACATCGTTAAATGGGGCATTCTGATACCAGTATTGCTCGAAATGTAGCAGCAACTGCGTTAACATTATCGCACAAAGAAAAAGAATATTTCTCAATGAGATCAATATGGCGACCATAAAATTCCCCATAATTTCCACCAACCTGTATCTTTTGAAACCGTGGGTTATGAATTTGACAATTAGTTGACGACTTCTTGCACCAAAATCGTGATAACGAAACAGGCGGTTGATGTAGAAGAGTATTTCCACATTTAAAGTCATTTAATTCGATAAATATTTAAAGCATAATGCAATTTGAAGCTATCAAAGTCAATTAAAGCCATTAACAAACTGTTAAAAACACTGAAAAATTAATGGTCTCACAGACGACGTGGTGTTATTGCGAATCAACAAAAAACATGTAGAAGATACCAACATGTCAACATAATCATAATCAAAACTCTAATCCCATACAACTAGTGCAAAGTATGAACCAAAAAAAAGACTTACAAGGAGACTCCCGAAAAAGTGCAAGGAGAATAAGACCCAGGTATTTCAGATTGGTAAGTGTCTTCTGCTTCATCGACAATACCCGCCATGTAGACCTTGGGCAATCCAAGTAAGTAATGTCACGTTCCCCAAAGAGAGCAAGATATACATCAACGAAACCAACAAACTAACGAGAAATAAACCTATATTATGAAAATATTGACTGAAACCAATTACTACGTTTCATTTTGTGTTTATCGGGGCATACAAGGAATATTACATCTGACAAATAAACTTTCGCCTATGGAACCTCACGCCAGTTTAAAGATTAAATAGATTAGTAAAACAAAGCAACAACAGCAGTATCTGAGAGATAAGGGTTGGGTGGGTCTAATTCAATATTGATATGTTTTCACCAGGATGTTTCACCGGGAAGAGAATGTAACGAAAGAGAGATAACTCCAAGTCCACCATCAAATGAAACAGAATCAGTCAAACTAATAACATGAGCTATTTAGAAATAAATAAAAGACATACGCCTTCGTCATTTTTAACATGTTGTAAAATTGCTTGATGTTAATCTACGATGGCGCAGTGTTCAGTTCCCATGGTTTGTCGACGTACTCACGGAAATACACCGTTTCAGTTATTTCAAATTAAATTATATAAATAAATTAACATTAAGTTAGACGGATTGTCTTTTTTTAACTCCGTAATTCTAACTTTAATTATCAAGTTTTTTTCATAATATCATTACAATATGATGGCACTTCAAAAATAGCTGGCATTTGTGCAATTATTGGCATTTGTGATAACGACGCTACTTTAATTGATGTCTTTCAATTCGATGTCATTGTAGCTAAGACTTGATATAGCAACCGATATGAATCTAGAAAACGGTCATTAAAGGCTACATTGTTCGTATGTGTTTTGTGTACACTATTTGGGTAATGAAATGAATTTCCATAATGTCATTTTCTTGCATGAATGTTGAAAAAACATGAAAATTATAACATAATTATAAACCAAACTCAAACATTAAACGCCAGTGGTTTCGTATCACACAAAGAAATATTTCTCAATTAGATTACTCCAGCGAACGTGAAACATTCCCATCATTTTCATCAGCTTGCATCTTTTGAAACCATGTGTTACGAGGTTGTCCGTCAAATGACTACTTTTTGAACGAAACCTGTAATAATGAGAACAGGTCCTTGAAATGCTTCAAGTTAGTGTTCAGGGTTGTTGATAGTTGCTAGGTAGAACGTTGTTCTTGTTGGTTTCGTTGTAGTTATAAGCATGAAATTCATGAAAATGATCAGGGGACTTTCTCTTACATTTTGTAAAGATTTCATTAAATGTTTTTAAGCTCCTAATTCATGTGTGACACATTTTCTCTCTGGATAAAAGCAATATAAATTAAAAAATATTATACAAAATTAATGCGCTAGGTCATTTCATCATATTAATGTAATATATGTATAACGTGTATTTTTGTTAGGTAAATTATATATATGACGGCTGATTGATATTCTTCAATCGTGTATTGAAGAAGGGATATCCTTTTTCAGCTCTACTATTCCTTGACCGAAGACTGGTGTCATCGGTGTCTTCTTATGTCGACGATGTAGCGCTCTAACGTGAAAAAAGGCAAACAGTTTTGTAAAATAGATAAAAGAGCAGTGATTCAATATTTGCACAAGAAAGGTCATTCTAAGAATATCCATATTGATATGGTGGCAACACTAGGGAATTATGTCCCATCACTTGCTACAGTGAAAAGGTGGTGGCAGAATTTAAGCGTGGAAGGCAGAGCCTGGAAGGTCTGTCACTGTTCCAACCCCAGAAATTGTCAATAAAATCGATGATATCGTTATAGGCGCGTTACAGAGAGAGTTATAGCCAGTGTAGTTGGGAGTTCACAGGAAATAGTACATTCAATTTTTATTGAAGATCTTGCAATGAGCACAGATTTAGAAATGCAAAATTTGCAACAAAGAAATCAAAAGCATTATAATCATGAAACCTTCTCATGGAAAGTTGTCGCTGCTGCTTTCGTTGCATGTAAAGATTGAGGTAAACGGCTGATGTTCAATCGTCTGTGGTGTACTAATGAAAAACAATTTGGCGTGTCAACTACCGGAAATATGCAATTTGGCATGTCAACGGGTTTTGGTCGCTCTCATTTCAAGACATCATCATTATATCTTATGACTGAAATGAAGGATTTCGAAAAAAGAGAGAGAAAAAAAAGCCTTGTACTAAAACAAATAAAAAGGCAAAATACTGTCAGTTTCTTCCCATAGATATGTTAATAATATGCTTGAAGAACTAAACATTTAGGCTGATGATAAGAAAACTTTATTATTGCCTCTCTAAAATCAATTTACTTCAAATTCCATTTCTCGAGTAAACAATATAAAAATGAGACTAACCTTGCTTATAATGTAATTAAAATTGTAGCTAAAAGTTGGGATTTAACGCTTGAAAGGACTAAACAATGAACGGTGTTAACGTGGATTTATGTGATGGGTTACAGAAAAAAATGTTTCCAATTAAGTTTTTGTTTCCATTGGCGACTAATTACTACAGCAGCCTTAGGTTACCCGCTCAACATGTGCTTCTGAGTATTTCTGTCTTTATTCCCTCGCGAATGAAACTAATTGGAGATACAGTTTTGTTGCCGAAGGTCGAATATGGGTATCACATGCATTTGTTAGCTCTGTCGTTTATTGAGGATCTTGATCTGTCCGCTTTTTTTCTCTGCTTATTAATCCACTGTAAATTTTCTGACAAGCATTTTCAGCGCTCCAATGATATTGTTTCCTAAGGGATTTTGGCTACACTTCACATATTTATAAACGACCATAAATGCGAAATTCATGATTGAAAGAACAAATGTTACAGTGACTATTTTTCTTCTAAAAAATCTTTTTCAGTGCTGAAATAATTTCTAGGGGTATTTCAATAAAACTTTACGTACTCGGTTAAGGAGGGTTGAACCGCCATGGATTTGTACCCTTTGCGTTGCCTCATAATTACACCGTTGCTAGAGCGAGTCTACAGATGATATCAAGACAATGGAACTCGCTTCAACGTACGTTTTAAGAATTATTATTACGAATATTTTGATATTTTATGTCAATTTTAGCGGACTTATATATCGTTTAAGAGTAAGACAAATAGCGTACAAGGAGAAACACTTTCATTATTCAACATTACATTTGTTTACTGTCGTATTTGTTTGATATATAATCAGGTATGATGTCCTAGTGAGTAACTCTGTAGGTTCTTGTATGATGTCCTGGAGAGTAACTCTGTAGGTTTTTGTAAGATGTCCTGGAGAGCAACTCTGTAGGTTTTTGTAAGATGTCCTGGTGAGTAACTCTGTAGGTTCTGGTATGATATCCTGGAGAGAAACTCTGAATGTTCTGGTATGATGTCCTGGAGATTAACTCTGTAGGTTTTTGTAAGATGTCCTGGAGAGTAACTCTGTAGGTTCTGGTAAGTTGTCCTAATGGTACCAGTGTAGGTTCTGGTATGATGTCATGGAGAGTAACTCTGTAGGTTCTGGTAAGATATCCTGGAGAGTAACTCTGTAGGTTTTTGGTATGATGTCCTGGTGAGTAACTCTGTAGGTTCTGGTATGGTGTCCTAATGGTACCAGTGTATGTTCTGGTATGATATCCTGGAAAGTAAATCTGTAGATTCTGGTATGGTGTATGGAGAGTATCTCGATAGGATATTATATGATGACCTGATCGCTGTAGGTTCCAGCTTGACAATTCAGTGTTTAACAATTGCCGATTTTGATATCCAAGATGTATAACTGTACGAATATAAAAAGAATATAATTGTAAATTGTTAGAGCACTAATTCATTTAGTACTGAATAAAACACACAATGAGTAAATGCATATCTATCGTGTGATGTGGGTTGTACATAAAATCATGTTCAATAAATATTTATTACGACACAGAATAAACGTGGCGGATCAATTCGATACCAAATAAATAGAGGCCGTCACCAACTTTGAACATATTCTGTACCATGAATCAGAGAATGTGTTGAGAATCATGTATACATAACAAACAATAACGATTTAACGATAAATATTGTTTCAATTTTCATTATTTACACTGATTTACGTTTCAGTTACAAATTCCTTAATTAAGACTACAGAAAATACCAAGAATTCAAGAGTAAAATCTTCTGTTTAGTAGTCGTTTTCACGTTTCTCTTCAATTTTAAAGCATACTGCCATTATTTTATCTGATTATACATGATAAATATGATCCTTACCATATCATTTTTGAATGCGCCTCTTATGCTGTACTTCTATCATTCGTCACAGAACATCTGTAAAGAGGAACAACTTTGTTTCTAATGTACCTAGTTTACTTTTGACCCTTTAGCTTTGACAGATGACCACCAAATTCTAATCAAATGTACAGAAATAACAAAGAAAGTGCAACGTTAAACTTATAGCGTAATGCTAGGATGGGAATAAAAACCACATTTGCTGAGGAACCTAGAGATTACTACTACTCTTGTTTCTTTACGCAGACACAAGTGTGACCTTTGACCCTTTAATTGTCTCCGACGACCTCCAATCTAACTGGGTTAAGAACTTGATATTGCCACGCTATGATGTGAACATGAACTAAATGTATGGATGTGCATACATGTACGTACTAAAGTTGTCGAAAATGTATGAGATATGTAGTGCATAAATCTTTCGTTTAAAGTCGTGAAGTGTGACGTTGACCAATGACCTATTAAGATGTTGTAGAACTAACACGGGTGTAATTTAATAGTTTACTGTCTAACACTAATTTCTTGTCAATGTTAGACCTTCTGCAAATGATCTGTGTAGTGCATATTTGACATATTTTATATTAAAGAAATATCATTGTGCAATTGTATGAAGATTCAAAATATACTAGTAACATTACAACCAGTGTCACTATTAGTCTGCATTGCAATTAAGATCATATATCAGTTACGAGAATACTTTTTGTCCTACCATTTTCCTGCACTGATCAATCATGGTGAAGAAATTGATATCATTACACTTCATTAAACTCGCTTGACAAACGGTAATTAAAAACAATAAAACGCACCTGCAGTCGTATGGAATATGGGAGGTACTGAAGATGTTTTTCTTTGTCACACAGCGCTCAGCTTAAGTGTATTTCTTTTCAACAAATTAGAGAACTGCATAAAAAGTGAAATAATATATTATTGTCAATGTTCCGCTTATCCAATATATGTAGATAAATGGTTCAGCACACTAGCGGTTTTTTATTGCATTCATTGTGTCATATCTCATTTCGGATAAAATAATTACATCTTAAAACACAAAGTAAAACAAGTTCTTTTTTTTTTTTTTTTTTTTTTTATAAAATTTGATTAACTGATGATTCTTTCTGACATGATTAGGTCACTTCAACGTCGAAAAAATTACCACACAATTTCGATATAAAGAATATGAAACTATCATATCTGGTATTCACTGCGGTCTGGTAAGAATGCAGTGCCATTCATGTCAACGATTTCTGTAAACTCTCCTCTGAACATTATGAACATCCCTATATCCTTATAGATAAAATTATTCTGAATTAATATTTATCAGTGTGAACATACCGATTTACTGTATTATAATACGTAAAGGTAATAAATGATGAAGTGTTCAACAGTACTCATGGAAGTTATACAAAGAGATAGATAATGGTACAATGAAATTCTATTACACTCTCAAATCGTACTATAAATGAATATTTCTAGAAATGAAACTAATCTAGTTAAAATGTTACATTGGTATAAACACAAAAAAATGAATATATTACGAAGATAAATAAAACAAAATATTGAAGAGGCAAAATTGCAACATAATGATATTGAAAATTAAAACTTACCTTTGTACTGCGAAAACGTAGCATCATGTTTGATTTATTTTTACCAAAAAAAGATGACACCGTACACAATTAGTCATACATATCAAGTGAAATATAAGAAACATTACACTTTTAGCAAGCAAAGGTATGTAAGCGTTGTAAGCGAAAGTTAGGGTTCGGATTAAAGGTATACAAATAAATAGCTGAATAATGAGATATAATCAAGTTATGAATTGAACAAATTGCCAGACATTTCATCAATAAAATATGGAATGTAAAATGTGACAAGTAGCAAGGAAAAAATGATCAATTTATAGAGTATTCATTGGATAGAAAGAACTAAGGATATTAGAAAAACACAGTATGTAAACAATATCGCACATGTAATGACTTCATGTTGGACTTTACATCAGGCCCTGGTTGCTCAAAGTTTCGTTAAAGTTAACCAGCGATTAAAGAAAATGTTTAATTGTTGCTCCTGAAAATACAAAAAGATCGTTCAAAGCCAATAAAATATCAAAACATCTCAATCTAACTTGTCTCATCAAATATACAGCTGTAAAAGGATAAAGGATCTTCATATGTTTGTTAAGTTCATGTTTGAAAATTTTCACTAATCACTGCTTATCTCTAACCGGCCTTTGAACAACCGGGGCCTGGTGTTTTCAGCTGAAAAAACGTGTTTGAACATACAGAATAAATACATACTATGTAACCGTTTAGATATCATAACTCAACGTGTAGTATAAAAAAACTTCAACATCCTGAAATGGATATGAAGCAAGTACTACACCTAACATCTGATCGTAAAAAATGTTAATGCGAAACATTTCAACTGTCGTGACACTACTGAACTTTTACTCTATCAATTAATAGATTTATCTATTTGAGAAATCTAGAGCATTGATCATGACAACAATACTGTTTAGTCAACTCACTTCCACTGGCTGCTTCTATTGTGGTCCCGTCGACACGGAAGATAAATTTGCCAGGCACTCCTGTGTTAGATCTCTGCTCAAGGTTGATCACGTCAGTATAGTCAGAATTGTTTACTGTAAAGCTATTTAAAGTGTCTCCGGCATTGAATCCAACCTAACGAGGACAAAAAAAATCATGTTCTCGATTCTTTTTTATTTACATTTAAAAACCCTGAATCATTGTCAGGTTTTCCAGCAGTGAATATACTCATATTCAAACAAATCCTTATTCTTATTCCGTTACATAACGGGTGTCATAACTCCCACAAGAGGTGACTTTTCTTCCCTCTGTACTCTATACATCGTTACATTGATAAATCTGCGATAGTCTTTGTTGATGAAATTGCTAAATGGACAAATCGGATTATGCAAGATATTTCGCCCACCTTTATTCACCTTCAAGATTTATTGTCTGATGTAAAGTTTTACAAGAACATAACATCTCATTGGATGTTGGCAGATCCTACGTATGCGGAGAGTGAATCAAGAGCTGTACTTTAATAAAATTGGGTCTAATAAGGTATATTATGCTTCAGGAGTCTTTTACAGATCTTTATTACAATTTTTCGCCTATATGAAAACCTTTCAGTGGCATGTCATTGTACTTACTACAGCTTTGGTGATATTATTAGCATATCCGGCCCATTCGATTTTCTGATAATGGAACATTGCAAAGGAAGTGCTACCATCGGTCACAAGAACGACTTGAAAAGTGTTTCTCTAAAATAGATTTTAATATTGATATATTAATTAAATAACTAGATAGTTACATTTCTTTGACGTAGGAAATTACAGATATTTATGCGTCACTTTGACAGGCATTGACTTATGTTTACATATATGGCAAAACTTTCTATATAAAATACATATACAACAGACCACGTGGTAAATTTAATTCCATTGATGCAGTACACATGTACACGCATATTTTATGAAATTATTATCACAAATTGTCTTTAACCTCTGACCTCAGATGATTCATTTATACACGCTCTGCCGCAATCAATGAACTGATATCTCATGTGAACGTCAATTTTAGCATGAATAGATTCATTTTACCTTTGTCCGGTCATCACCAGCTGCTTGCCAGTAAGGAACGTCTAGCCAAGTAGCTGTAAAAACACTGGTTGGCTGAAATGAAGTTTGAAGGTCAAAATAGGCTGTGATATCCGCTTTAGCGCGACTGAGAAGAGCAGAGTCATTTGAGAGCTTGTACCAAACCTGCCCCGTTGATCGCGTATCCACATCCATCCAAAATACTGCTATTAATGGAGTGTTATCGGAAAGTGGAAGCGACTGAGGAATATACTGCCAGTATTGACTGTTGAAAGTAAGATGTCCGTTGTTATTTACCTGAAACACAGCATGCAACACTACAGGGGAACGTTGTAAAAAGCAAGTAACAAACTGATCAGATTTTACATACTTACTGCAGTCTTAAACACCGTCCATTTTATTATTTTCATTTTGCACCAAAGGACCTCTGAAAAGTGCCATTTCACTGATATATCTTATTGCAAGTACATCGGCAAGGTATCTCACTTGGAATAGGTCATTCAAGTTTACTTGTACATTTATGTCAGTACGGAGTGTCGCACAGTCAACAGCATGTCAAGGCCTCAAGGGTCAAGAATTCACAGTCTTCTTTATCACGGAAAAAACTCACTGCCAAGGCCAAAAAGTGAATACAGAAGTCAGTGGAAGGGTAAAAAATTTATAAAATATTTGTCGTAATATGAGACAGACCACATGAACTCGTTTGCCTTGACAAGCGATCAACAGTAAAATCACAAGCTGAATTGTTCAAACACAAACATAAGCTATATGAAAATTATTATTTGTAAATGGCAAAGAAACATATTAAAAGAAAAATACAATAAAGAATATGGTGAATACATGTTTGCATCAAATGTATTATGTCGGAAAAACGTAAAATGTTCCCTATTCTGACATTTTTCGCCGCTTCATGTTCCAGGTAGTATGGTAATAAGTATACGTTTTTAGTGAAATATAACAGTTTTGTTCTACCATAGTTTGCAGGTTGTAGTGTATCGTTGTTAAAGATCCTTTGCTGTACATCTTCACTTCCTCTATTGATACAATTAATTGGGTGTCCGAATATTTTTATACAGTATCTTTGAACCTTAGACTTTAGATAGTCTTAGATACGGGGATATTGTGCATTAAACAGTATATCAACGTTTTCATTATCACCTCTCAAAGAATACCTGAGGGGGATATAGGGCTGTTCGTACGCAACGCAACGCCATCCTTGTCAGCATTCTTTCGGCCCTGGGAATTTAATCAAACTTCATATACTTATAAAACACAATTATATAGCTGACAAGTTCTAATATAAGGTTTCTACGGACAATGCTTATGTCACTGTTATTACTTTTAGACATTTGGGCATTGACGATTACCTGGGATCAAAGATCAAACCTGATAGGTTTTCTCTTTGCAGTCGAATAATCTTCAAAACTAAAACTAGCATGATAATAGTAACTTCCACGTGGCATTCAGACAAAGCGTTATTAAGGATGTGATGTATTAATGAAAGTAATGATACATCATAAAGAAAACTATCCTGAGTGCGAACAACTTGTTGCTTGAGAGCTGGACGTAGAGCTCTTCAACAGTGTTGGCACCAACCATAATTAAATATATGTACATGTTGATATATATAAATAAATATCAATATATACACATGTATGCCAAGGAAATAAGATTTCAAGTTAGATGACTTAAAAATAGAAAACCCGCAATGTTAAATACAACGACACTCTACCATAGTAGACGTGGACAGGTGAGTATTGTTCTGATCGATCAGTGTAAGAATATATGGTGTTTCGAACATTTTACTATCAATAAAGTTGATGACACTTATAAGATGGTTAATAAGAAAAAAGAAAAAAATATCAACATGTCAACAAAATCAAATAAAGTGGCAAATGTATTGGTTATCTGTTAGATGTTTCGATTCTATGTGATATCCATAAACTGACAGAATGGCAAGTGAAGCTGATATTAGCAGACTACACCTTCTTATAAGGAATACTTACGTAAATCGTGTCATAGAAGTTGTTGAAAAAGGGAAAATTGAAAAAAATAACTGGAGAACTTCCATCTAGTGTGGGACCCATCAGCTGATCGTCAGAAGGGTACATGTCCTCGAAGTCAATACCACTAACTGCAGACATCAGCTTCAAACTCACGATTAGTATGAAAACTGCCATGATACCTGTACAAATATTATACACGAGTTACATTGTATACTTCTCCACTCTCGCCAGACATTACTGTAATAACATTTGGGAACGTAACCATACGTGTTTATAGGCGTGTTATTTTCAACTCGTTTATCATCGCATGGTTGCACAAATGTGCAGGGTAAACCAGGAAGGCAATTCCTACCGTCTGATTGGCTGTTTGAAATAGGTGACGTTTCGTTCACCAGGAAGGCTATAATGTAAACACAACATTAAAGGCATTTCAATACAAAAAACGAAGAGTTCAAGCGCATACAGAAAAAAAACTTCAATATCTTGACTTCAACATTTCATGTATACTGTAATACATCATCCGTTATTGAAATATGACACATTTTCTGTGAAGCTAAAATATCTTAATATATATATTGTTTAGTGTGTTCTGTCAGCTTTCTTGTCTGATCGATTGAGTGTCTATGTCCATGTACCAAAACATCGACATGCTAATGTAATCTTAATTCAAACACATATTCCGTGAAACCAAGACAAAATATGACGAATAAAATTATTTATACGAAGACGCCAGAAAAAGGACCAGTAGAGGCCCAGTTTTTTTTCGGAAGAGTACACATGCTTAATTTACAACAGTGGTCACTTGAACCGACGTCCATTTATGTACGCGTTGCCATGTTCCAAAGAAGAGAGAGAGAGAGAGAGAGAGAGAGAGAGAGAGAGAGAGAGAGAGAGAGAGAGAGAGAGAGAGAGAGAGAGAGAGAGAGAGAGAGAGATCATTATGACGACAGTAGAACTTAACTTACCCATAAACCTCATCAACCTGCATCCCTCGAAACCTTGTGTCGCGAGTTTGTCTGTAGCATAGGATGTTTTACGTCTATCTATAAACATTGTTGAATGAAGTACGACGTAATATTTTACCTCCGTGAATACAATTATATTTTGTACGGCAACGTCATTGATAATTCGCTGAGGATTTCTACTATTGTACGGTCCCTTAACAACTGATGAAAGCACCTCTTTCATTTCTTCGTCATATAAACATAAATGAAGAAATAATATCTACACTTCAAAAGCAATTCCACCTTGTGTCTAATCATCATATACTTTGAATTTTGTATATAAACTGAAAGCAGTCATAAAAAACATCGGAATAATATATGCATGTTAATCCAGAGATTTTGTCATTGGGTGATTAAGATGTAAAGCAATTAGGATTGACACTTCAAGTTGATACAACATGAAACAACAGGTACGTAAACTGATTGCAAGTGTATCCAAAGACAGGCGAATAATCCAGAGTTTTCCTTTTGGTTGGTAGTGGTCGCTTTTTAAAATCGCCAACACTGCGATGTCAATGTTCTTTTCTTGGTGTATATGTGGTTTCACCCAATGCTCTTTTCGTAATCTGTGTGTACAGCTATGAGAGAACTTATAAATGTTGGAAATAGGAATATTATTTATCGTTCTATGAAAGTTGAGTGCTTCATTTTTAAAGAGGATACGTGGCTAGGGGACACCAACGGCAAGGGTCGTATGAGAACGGGTGTCCAGGGAGACACCAACGGCAAGGCTCGTATGAGAACGAGTGGCTAGGAGACACCAACGGCAAAGTACGTATGAGAACAGGTGTCCAGGGAAACACCAACGGCAAGGCTCGTATGAGAACGGGTGGCTAGGCGACACCAACAGCAAGGGCCTTATGAAAACAGTTGGCTTGGGGACACCAACGGCAAAGCTCGAACGAGAACGGGAGTCCAGGGAAACACCAACGGCAAGGGTCGAATGAGAACGGGTATCCAGGGAAACACCAACGGTAAGGGTCGTATGAGAACGGGTGGCTAGGGCACACCAACGGCAAGGCTCGTATAATAACGTGCGTCCAGGGAAACACCAACGATAAGGGTCGTATGAGAACGGATGGCTAGGGCACACCAACGGCAAGGGTCGTATAAGAACGTGTGTCCAGGGAAACACCAACGGCAAGGGTCGTATGAGAACATGTGGCTAGGGGACATCAGCGGCAAGGGTCTTATAAGAACGTGTGTATAGGGAAACACCAACGCCAAGGGTCGTATGAGAACGGGTGTCCAGAGAGACACCAACGGCAATGCTCGTATGAGAACGGGTGGCTAGGTGACACCAACGGCGAGGGTCGTATGAGAACGAGTGGCTAGTGGACACCAACGGCAAAGGTCGTATGAGAACAGGTGTCCAGAGAAACACCAACGCCAAGGGTCGTATGAGAGCGGGTGGCTAGGGGACACCAACGGCAAGGGTCGTATGAGAACAGGTGGCTAGGGAAACACTAACGGCAAGGGTCGTATGAGAACGGGAGTCCAGGGAAACACCAACGGCAAGGGTCGCATGAGAACGGGTGTCCAGTAAAACACCAACGGCAAGGCTCGTATGAGAACGGGTGTCCAGTAAAACACCAACGGCAAGGGTCGTATGAGAACGGGTGTCCAGGTAAACACCAACGGCAAGGGTCGTATGAGAACAGGTGGCTAGGGAAACACTAACGGCAAGGGTCGTATGAGAACGGGAGTCCAGGGAAACACCAACGGCAAGGCTCGTATGAGAACGGGTGTCCAGTAAAACACCAACGGCAAGGGTCGCATGAGAACGGGTGTCCAGGTAAACACCAACGGCAAGGGTCGTATGAGAACAGGTGTCCAGGGAAACACCAACGGCAAGGGTCGTATGAGAACGGGTGGCTAGGCGACACCAACGACAAGGGCCGTATGAGAACGGTTGGCTTGGAGACATCAACGGCAAAGCTCGTATGAGAACGAGAGTCCAGGGAAACACCAATGCCAAGGGTCGTATGAGAACGGGTGTCCTGGGAAACACCAACGGCAAGGGCCGTATGAGAACGGGTGACTTGGGGACACCAACGGCAAGGCTCTTATGAGAACGGGTGGCTAGGGGACACCAACGGCAAGTGTTGTATGATAACAGATGTCAAGGGAGACACCAACGCCAAGGCTCGTATGAGAACGGGTGTCCAGTAAAACACCAACGGCAAGGGTAGTATGAGAACAGGTGTCCAGGGAGACACTAACGGCAAGGGTCGTATGAGAACAGGTGTCCAGGGAGACACCAACAGCAAGGATCGTATGAGAACAGGTTTCCAGAGAGACACTAACGGCAAGGGTAGTATTAGATCAGGTGTCCAGAGAGGCACTAACAGCTTGGGTCGTATGAGAACAGGTGTCCAGGGAGACACTAACGGTAAGGGTAGTATTAGATCAGGTGACCAGAGAGGCACTAACAGCTTGGGTCGTATGAGAACAGGTGTCCAGGGAGACACTAACGGCAAGGGTAGTATGAGAACAAGTGTCCAGAGAGACACCAACAGCAAGGATCGTATAAGAACAGGTGTCCAGGGAGTCATTAACGGCAAGGGTAGTATGAGAACTGGTGTCCAGGGAGACACTAACGGCAAGGGTCGTATGAGAACAGGTGTCCAGGGAAACACCAATGCCAAGGGTCGTATGAGAACGGGTGTCCTGGGAAACACCAACGGCAAGGGCCGTATGAGAACGGGTGACTTGGGGACACCAACGGCAAGGCTCTTATGAGAACGGGTGGCTAGGGGACACCAACGGCAAGTGTTGTATGATAACAGATGTCAAGAGAGACACCAACGCCAAGGCTCGTATGAGAACGGGTGTCCAGTAAAACACCAACGGCAAGGGTAGTATGAGAACAGGTGTCCAGGGAGACACTAACGGCAAGGGTCGTATGAGAACAGGTGTCCAGAGAGGCACTAACAGCTTGGGTCGTATGAGAACAGGTGTCCAGGGAGACACTAACGGCAAAGGGTAGTATTAGATCATGTGACCAGAGAGGCACTAACAGCTTGGGTCGTATGAGAACAGGTGTCCAGGGAGACACAAACGGCAAGGGTAGTATGAGAACAAGTGTCCAGAGAGACACCAACAGAAAGGATCGTATGAGAACAGGTGTCCAGGGAGTCATTAACGGCAAGGGTAGTATGAGAACTGGTGTCCAGGGAGACACTAACGGCAAGGGTCGTATGAGAAAAGGTGTCCAGAGAGACACCAACAGCTAGGGTCGTATGAGAGCAGATGTCCAGGGTGACACTAACAGCAAGGGTAGTATGAGAACAAGTGTCCAGAGAGACACCAACAGGGAGACATTAATGGCAAGGGTAGTATGAGAACAAGTGTCCAGAGAGACACCAACAGCAAGGATCGTATGAGAACAGGTGTCCAGGGAGTCACTAACGGCAAGGGTAGTATTAGAACAGGTGTCCAGGGAGACACTAACGGCAAGGGTCGTGTGAGAATAGGTGTCCAAGGAGACACAACAGTAAGAGTCCTATGAGAACAGGTGTCCAGGGAGTCACTAACGGCAAGGGTAGTATTAGAACAGGTGTCCAGAGAGACACTAACGGCAAGGGTCGTATGAGAACAGGTGTCCAGAGAGACACCAACAGCTAGGGTCGTATGAGAGCAGATGTCCAGGGTGACACTAACGGCAAGGGTAGTATGAGAACAAGTGTCCAGAGAGACACCAACAGGGAGACATTAATGGCAAGGGTAGTATGAGAACAAGTGTCCAGAGAGACACCAACAGCAAGGATCGTATGAGAACAGGTGTCCAGGGAGTCACTAACGGCAAGGGTAGTATTAGAACAGGTGTCCAGGGAGACACTAACGGCAAGGGTCGTGTGAGAATAGGTGTCCAAGGAGACAAAACAGCAAGAGTCCTATGAGAATAGGTGTCCAGGGAGACACTAAGGGCAAGGGTCTTATGAGAACAAGTGTCCAGAGAGACACCAACAGCAAGGGTCGTATGAGAACAGGTGTCCAGAGAGACACCAACAGCAAGGGTCGTATGAGAACAGGTGTCCAGAAAGACACCAACAGCAAGGGTAGTATGAGAACAGGTGTCCAGAGAGACACTAACGGCAAGGGTCGTATGAGAACAAGTGTCCAGAGAGACACCAACAACAATGGTCGTATGAGAACAAGTGTCCAGAGAGACACCAACAGAAAGGGTCGTATGAGATCAAGTGTCCAGAGAGACACCAACAGCAAGGGTCGTATGAGAACAGGTGTCCAGGGAGACACCTATGGCAAGGGTCATAAAACACCAATAGAAAAAAATAAAAGAAAAATATAGAATATTGAAAGAAAGTAAGGAAAATATAGCATCCAAAGTTGCGATGGGGTGGGACAATGACCACTTGAAAGAAGGTAAAGATTGAAAGCTCTGATTCTGCCGAGTCTGCCTTACATTAAGTTACCTCATACGACACACAGAGATATACAACAGGCATATATCTTCCGCCCCCCTTAAAACGATATAAAAACTTTGAACCAGACTTTATATGACCTGCTCGGTTTACGTGATACAACGTTGGTTGTGTCATATGTGTTTGCTTGACATATGTATATATCTTTCGATTCGTAATGTGTAATCGGTAACGCTAGACAGGGGTACGAGTAGTTAGATAATGTTTATTCGTGTGAATATCGTTAAACTTTGAAATCAAAACCGGTACTTAAAACCGTGTGTATTATTACTATATTTTTCTATCATGTCTTTGTGTTGGATGAAAAACCGGAGTATCTGGGGAAAACCCACGTTGTCAGGCAGGTGACCCCGTAACCTTTTACTTCCGTTTCAGGAATCGAATCCCGGGCGGCCAGGTGAAAGGTGTGTACGTTACCTCTACGCCATCAGACCCTGTCTGTTGTGAGTATGTGAAATCCTGTTTAAGATAACTTGCCCCAATCCACATAACAACAACAAATAAAACATAGAAACAAATTAAAGATAAAGCTGATTGAATACATCATGTTCTACAGCTTCATCTCCATTTCAGCAACACTTTCAAATTAAGAAACATACGACAGTGTACAATGCACATAAAGAAGAAAATAACAATTCGAATACAGAAAATATGTAATTCAATTTCATTTCCGCTTTATTTTGGATCTGTCTGTCCTGTATTCGGAATGTCGCTTGAATATATCGATGCTCTCTGACAATGATACTTGCACGCAATAATGACGACACATCGTATGGGCCAGTGGTGACTAACGGACTTCAGTGTTTCTTTCATTTGTCTACATTTGCATTACACTGTATGAAAGAGTCCAGATGCCCGAGATGCAAGTATACAGCCTGAAGAACATTTTTGATGTTGGGCGGACTTGCAGAAAAAACTGTAATGTAGTGTCTGCACTATACTAGATGGCAGTAAGAAGATTACATCACAAGAACAGCGAGGGTATGGTTGTATCTACACAACTTAAGTATCCGAACCTACGACGATATATTGGCAGTTCTATTGGGTTACTCGATCACTATTCCAGGTTTAGGGTCATATATATGAGTATTTGTATCTTTCTTTACATTTGGAACCAAAGACGATAAAAACACACATAATAACAATACGACAAAAACTAAATTAATAGTGAAGTCATTAATCTTCTTAATTATCTCCAAATCATGTTTTTCCTTTCTTTCCATGAATGCTATTACTAGCATGAGTCCCCCCGAGACGATTTGGCAGACCAATGCCAGAACGGTGATGACCAGGATGAGGTTATAGAAAGGGGGCGGGGTCACAGTCGCTTGTAACATGCGAAGATTGGTGGTAGTATGCACCAGTAGCACCAAGAGGAGAAGACCCTGTAAAATTGTTTTCTTCTTAGTGTATTCCGCTTCGACCTCCTGTCGTCGGGAATCCTGTAATTATATAATGACTGTGCTGTAATACACAATACACTGGTACTTTTTAAGAATAGAATGATCAGATTATAAAAAAGAATACAAGGTTTGATACTAGTTAAGCAGATTTAGGTATCACAATGTGTTCATAATAAAATTTTTAAAAATATGTTGTGTGGAAAAGTTATATTGTTCTACTGCTGTGCATTTTTGTACACATATCTTGACTGTATTACTTGTTTCATATCAACAACAGAGGATTATCTCATAAAACTGAAGGTCAAGGGCAAAACAACAAAAATGAACCAAATCGTTTCTATACGTGCCAAAAGGCTTCTTCATGCCACAAGCTGTCCTTAATCGTGACCTCAGAAGTCAAACCAATTTCGTTACAGACAAAATGTGGCTCCATTTTTCTAGATTTTATTTTTGTAAAATGTCAACACTGATTTAAATATTACCACTTGAGTTGACTTGTCTACCATCAAAGGCGAGGACCAGTGTCGGTCTGTGATGAAGTCAGTACCAGTATTATCTACTGTTACATGACGTCCCATGGCACGCTTCCGGTGGCTGCTGTTGTGGCGACGAGACAAGACAGCATTTGCAGCCATACTCAACGTCGCCTCTTCTAATGAATCCATACCAGAATGTCCTCAGGCTCCAAAAATCTTATATAAAACCAAATCAATAGATTAAAAAATAAGCTATGAAATTTCTTGTATTAGCGAAAAATAAGACAATCGCATCCATGTTACATTCGTCTATTAAACAGGTATCTGACCGATGATATCTTACCCATTTTAACATACAATATATTTGTCAAAAACAAAACACACGCTGTTTGTTGTTTCATCTGTAGTGTTGGAGTTTGATGGCACAGAGTGATGATTTTAAATTGAATCACTTCAGTTTAAGTTTTACTTATTGTAATACTGTCACACACCATCATACTGATAAAGGGAAATACGAAATTCATTTTCTTTCTAAAATTCGGTGACGGAAAGCAAGATGATAAAAAATAACACCAACCCCTCTTAAATATACATCAGCATTACAAGTAAGCCCGTCTGTTCCGAAAGTCGAGTTGCTTACGACAGTATTACCTTGTATAACTAGGGTAACAAAACCGACAACAATTTACAGGTATGTATAACGAAAACAGTCTTAATCAACACTTATATCTCAATAAAATTTATCCTCCCACATTTAACGCATAATATTTTATCTTATCTTGCAACTGGCACTGCCGATGTCGTAATACACCTATCACATATATTCTATCTGTATTTGGCGCTGACGGAAAACAGCTGTCTTTCAGCACGTGCGGTAATTCGACAGAATTGCTCTCTGAATTTACTTAAATATTACGTTTAGAAATATAAATAGTTTTTACATGTTGTGATGAGCATGTTGATCAATGAAATTAATAAAACCGCTGGTATCTCCGATGCAATTTGGGACTATATACCGTGCGGAGCAGTTATTTTGGCGTCCGCCTACAGGCAAAATTCAGCGTAAGGCAACATCAGGTAAACAGATTGAACAACAAAACTGGTTTAGTTTCAATAATCTGATTTTCAATCAATGTTGTAGAATAACTTGAATACATGGTCAGTGTTTTTAAATAGAGGCTCGCCACTTTTGTCTTTCTTCACCGTCGCCAAAGTACAGCTTGCATTTTCAGACACTGACCGTGTCTTCTTTATGTACGTTCAATCGTTCCAAAAAAATAAGCCAGATGTCCAAATGATGGCACACGCATATTGTAGTGTGAACTAGTATCATGATAATTATTTTTAAATTGTGTTTGTTTGACAAATGGTATTAAATCTTGCACTGTTTCAAGATTCTCTGTGTAAATCTTTCATTTGTTTGTATTTTGCCCTAGTTCTATGGAATCTGAGTATATGATAATGTTGATACGTTGGTGTTTACTTGATGTCTTTTTCTTGTAGTTAATAACACAGATGTAATATAACGTAGACTATACTCAATATATCTTTTCCATATTTATTCAAATCATGTCGCCACTGTCACTGGACTAACTGTCATACAATGCCATCCCACTGGAGTGTACATCTGTGAGATTTGTGATTTTAAAGTGTGTAGCGGTAGAGCAAGTGATCATGATCATGATCGGGTACAGAACACCGCAGCACGCCTAGTTACCCGTACTCGAAAGAGGGACCACATCACACGAGTCCTTTACTTATTGCATTGGCTGCCCGTGCGATTCCGGTCACAGTACAAGATTTTGATGCATACACACAAGGCAATAAATGGAACAGCTCCTGAATATTTGCAGGAGCTTGTCACCGTTTATCAGCCGTCACGATCACTACGATCGGAGACAGAATCATTGTTGTGCTTTCCAAACTCTCGGACTGTGACTTATGGTAACCGGTGCTTTGGAAAGGTAGCGGCCACTTTGTGGAATAGCTTACCATCTTCTACCAGAAAGTCAAAATCCCTGGCCAAATTCAAGAGGATATCAAAACCCACCTGTTTACGTCTGCATTTTAGACTCTCACGCAGACGTCCTGTATATACATACTATCACCACTACTTACTTGATTTGGTTACTGTCTTACATATGTTGATTACTGTGTTATACATGTTCTATAAATTATGTAGTAAGATTATGATGTAATTGTGAAGCGCATTAAGAGTATTTTATTCAAAATAGATAGTGCGCTATATAAATGTTGTATATTATTATTATTATTATTATTTGAGACGATGTTTAAATTTCATGTATAACCGATTTTGACTGTTTACTACAAATATCCATAATAAAAGACATTGCCATAATTCGTTACATTTTAGTAATTGGATAGTTTTGTTGACGAGCTGGCACGCTAACGGATAAAGATAAGATTTCTTTATGGGCATTGACGACACAAAAGCCAGAAAGTGGATATGAGTACCATCCCTCAAAGCTTCCTGCATAGTATTTCATATTAATTGACGCACAGTTCACAGGGATCCGACAAATATGATCCATGTAACGACAGGTTTGCACAACAACATTCCCCGTAGTACGCCATATCAAGCGTACACAGACAGAACAAAACACGTAGACGCCTAGTATTTACATATATAAACGACAGATTAAGATTGGGTAATATTTTGTCTGTCGTACCACCTGTTTTCTTTACACAAAACAGCTATATCATCAACGAAATATGACATGATTAAGATTATAAATTACATATAAAAGTTACGCCATTCTCTATACTATAGCTTTTTGTCCTATATTGTGAAGATCTACATTACATTAACGTGACAGCATTGTGTAAATTGACTACCTGCAGTCTCTAAGTGTATAAAAAACATGTATGGCTAGACCGTGTATATCTCGGATACATTAACGATTGTACGAGAGACGATAATGAAGGTATACCATAATATGGCGGAAACATGTCATTTTAATACACAATTGTGAAAGTTTCATCTATCAGCTCTACTATAAAGAACACACGTGCAATGTACGGTGCACGGGCAATATACAAGACGTATGTTTTGTTCTGGTTGTCTATTTCTGTCATTTAGAGTCTTCTGAAAAGCATGGTTATCTACCGTGACTGTTATGTCATATTTGAATTTGAAATGTTGCCTTACTTTTATCTGGTGTCGCGTATACATAGAAAATTAAATACTTCCTGAGTAATTCTGGAAAAACAGAAACAAAATGTCCGTCAATGTATACATGTGCAATAAACACGAGTTAATGACACTGGAGAGTAAGAACTAGAGCGACGCGACCACATGTACATACTGTGTCTGTTATGATGTAAACAATATGTTATATCAACTGCTAGTGGGGTGGGGATACATGGGGCTGTTGTGCTAGCATTGTTAGCTTTTGTAGGAAATGTTTTATACATGTTATAATCTTGACCTAATTAAATTAAATATTAAAACTGTATGTGACTGTGGTATCTTTGTCGATCTGCAGTTGTCTGTCCCTCCACACTCGATATTCTGGGTGCGCTCTGTCAAAATAATTTCGTAATCTCTTCCTTGTGCAGAGGAAACTGTATAACGATCGTCTACAGCATCAGTTTAATAGGAAGTGTGTACGACAGTGATGAATAGCACAGCTTACATTGTACCCCTAGGTTTGGTTTACATAAGCTGTATAAACAGTTACACCGTCCAAGTCAGACTGTACATATATACAATATATGTTGAGGTGCGTGTACTACTTCCATGGCGGGCAAACAAAAAAACCCACAACATTTCCGTCGAAATGCATATGCTGAGACCAACCTTTCATCTCGGTTCATCTATCTGAATGTCAATTTCTTATCTTCAATCTACGGTTTGTCATCGCTTTTCATTACTGAACCATTCACATTCCCACCACAAGATTGATCCGTCTGATCGTCTGTTAGGACTTGTCATTTAAGTTGACAGAGTTCTGATACATGAAACTTAACAATACTGTTGTAATCATCAACAGCATTCATCTATATATATATACAATCCACATGATTTTATCTCCATCAACCTGTATCGATTCTCTACAACCATATATCGGAATCCTCGATATCAAGCTACTACGCACGTGCGCTCACATCGCCCAGAAAGAATCCCCAGCTCCGCCCGTCGTCCCGTGCATGCAGTCTTACCTTAGAGCTGTTGTTCTCCATTTCTATTTTCTAACAGACGGTTATAAGCGAGCGTGTCCACGATCACCACAGGCAAGCCACTGTACATTAAACTCACTACTTCCCTCACCGAAGTACAAACTTCCTGTTACAATCCACATACAATGTCTTTTGATACTTGGTATGTTTGTGTATCAAATCTTTAATCAGTACTTGCATGCAGTGTTTATTACGTCTTGATGAAAGTATATACTGCAACCGCGACTGTTTTCGCGTACCTTTCATTTATGCGGTTTCAGATGTGACCATTATGTAATATGACACTGAATACAGGATCGGGTGTGCATGTTAATTCTTCTTTGACAGTAATGTAAACACAGACATTGATTAGCTTATTAATAGATATTCAGTTAATTCTAAATGATGGAGAGTCTCATAGAACTTTTAATTTAGTATTTACAGTTGAATACATTATATCGTAAAGTCATTCCTCGGTGGAAGGTAACCAATACCATCTGTATGAAATGAGGGAAACTCAAGTGTGAACGTCCAGCAGTAGTGATAGACAGGACACTGACGATTCTCGAGTTAATTGGCGTATTGTAGACAATGTAAAATAAATTATATTTACAAAGTATACAAGTTAAATATGTCAGATGATTGGCCTTATGACATGACTTTATTAATCTGGCTCCCCAGCTGTTTATGAATACCCTTGAGATGTACTAAATTTACAACAAAAACATTATGAATACACTTTATATATAAACAGCATGACCATTAACAGACTTGGTGTCTTCGGAAATTTCCATATATACATTGGTATGAGTGCACCCGTTCTGGGGTTGTTTGGTCCTCAATGACCCGTGTAATAGATTGGCCGTAAAACAATTAAAAAATAACGAGGTTCAACTGTACATACATGTTAATGTATATCATGTAGTCACTAAAAATGATAAAATCACTTAGAGGGCGTGGAAGTTTGTAAGCGTGCCTGGCATTCAACGTGTACTGCTTCTTCGCTGTTCACACACACACAGAGAGAGAGAGAGAGAGAGAGAGAGAGAGAGAGAGAGAGAGAGAGAGAGAGAGAGAGAGAGAGAGAGAGAGACGAGAGAGAGAGAGAGAGAGAGAGAGAGAGAGAGAGAGAGAGAGAGCGAGAGACGGGCGAGAGACGGGCGAGAGAGAGAGAGAGCTGGGCATTTCACTGATCAGAACAATAAGATCATTTAACAACTCTATGGTGTATAGTTGTTGTAGATTCCGACGAGCGCTGCTTTACTTACAACCACCAAATTCGAATTTAAATAGATGAATCTGTTCCTTATTGTGTTGTGTGTTGGCGTTCTAAAAGTCATGGATTTGGAGACGTAGTTGAAATCATGATTCCAGAAAATGGATCCAGTATATCATTTATTGTAGAATATTCTTCTGTATGTAGTTACCAAAGAGAACGTTTGAATTCACATCAGTAACTATATCTCAGTTATGATCATTATTTTTTTCAAAATACTTCTGTCCGAGAAACAATGAAAGTCGCAGCATAAAGACATATAGATAATACATTCCTTGACAGTGGCAGTATTATCACATTATTTTGAGTAATAATGTGACGATGTCGCGAAAAACGACAAATATGTGATATTATCTGCAGATACGGCATTTCTTAAGTCGAACCTTCTCTGAATATAGTTTTACATCTCCTGCTAGAAAGAAAACTAAACTTGCTCGATAAACAAAGGAAATACCACAGACACAGTACCCAATCTTTTCAATGATGAAACTCTATTTAATCTTGCTTCAGTATTACGATCATTCAGATAAGGGTGAGGACCTTCCTTGTTTGCATTGGATTCTTGAACTCACAAAAGTTCATAGAAATAACCTTTCATTTCTATCTCCACCAAACCTTATTTTGTACCATTCTAAGTACGTCTAATCAGGGATTCGGTCCGATTGTGGTACTGTTAATTCGAGAAGTGAAATTAATGGGGATTTTTGGACAACTTTGAACGAGTGGCCTATTATTTTCTTGTTTTAAAAAAGTGAACAGCGGTAGAAATACAGTATATGTTGTGGACTACAGGTATAGTGGAGCGTTTTCTGATATCGAGATTGATGTCGTGAGAATCTATCAACCTACTGGGTGGAGATATCTGTGAATTCGGTGGTAATATCTCCAACCTGACAGTTGATTTAGTCATTGGATCAAACTCTGTCACTGTCTTTGCTACCTTCTATTGTGTTTTTTGGAATAAGAATTTATCACAGGGCTTATTAAAGCCGATCATAAAACCTTACCTGGTCTCCCGATTCCCGTTTAGACAATGTTTATAACGTCTTGTCTTTAAGTATCCATTGGAATCGAAAATCAAGGACGAAATACTACAAGCCATTCTCAATCCGCCGCTTACCACGATTTGTTCATACAACGATATCAACAGGGATACTTTTCCACCAACCTTTATCATAATATGATTTAAATGTCCCTTATGTGAATTTTCAACTTGTACATAGTAACAGCACTGCTTTCCCAAACTATCATGTACAAATGTCGCCGTTAATTCGATATTCAATGTCTTGTTCTTAATATCACAGTTTCGATAAAGATATTGACAGCTGACAGTAAAAGTTATAAGACAGTGTTTCGTTAGACGCAGGGTGACGAAGACTATGACGAAGTTTTATGGTCGCCATACCGATCTCATTCGGGAATCTGACATCACTTCCTTGGATTAGGAAAAATTTACAGGCTGGTGTCGTCGATGAAGCAGAATATTCTGTACACTTTGTCCTGTACTTTTCATTGTTCTCCGTATAAATCTTTCTTTTGGTCATATTTTGTTCTTGTTTCATAGAGTTTTGGATTGAATTAAGATGCTGTTAAAGTGTCGATATGCTACACGGGACCTCTAATGCGGAGTGGCTTGTGGTTCACAGATGGTCGTTAATGAAAGTCAATCTTGCGCCATTGCCAGGATGATCGTTCTAGCAGTCGTGCTGAAAAAAAAATTGTAATCGTTGCTGCTCCTGGAAAAACGTTGTATTGAGACAGTACTTATACTGATGATTTGTATATAATCCACAGACGGTACTAAGTATGTAATTCGTATCCATATAGGAAACCATGGCCGTCATCTGAAGATCTAGCCGTCGCTTTCCTAAACAGATAGAGACGGACTTCAACTAATGAATTGTGTACGGGCAATATATGGTTCTAATTAGATGTTTTTAATCATCTTGAATTCTTTTTATCTCCTTGAACGGAAAGATGTATCTAGTAAGATGAGTTGAGCATGGTCTACCTATTGTTAAGATCTTTGAAACAAAAGTTCTTATAACACAACCAGATATAAAATTGTATGACGTGTTGATGACTAAATGGTCATCTTCGTGAGATAAATGACCAGTGTGTAGTGTACTAGTACTGGCATACATAGTGTGTGAGACGACAAAGAATTGCCCTACTTATCCAGCTGTTCTAAAACCGTATGCACAAAAGTCGAAAATAGTGAGACGAGATGGTAAACTGATATATAAAAACATGTTCAAGAGGAAACATTGCAAGGTCGTCGATTCGGCCACACCTTGTTTAACATTTAGATGAGCGATATTCTGTGGCCCCCTCGTCCCTGTTTAGTATTGGCCCGCTGTGGCGTATGAAGTTCTCCTCCTTGGTCTGCCGCATGAAAAAAGTTGTTTTTCCTGTCGACTATTTTGAATTATCCAAGTCAGTGTTGTGATTTTGCTGAAAAGGAATGATCTGTAGGAACCGATTTATTTATCTTGGGCTGAGAATGATTTCACTCTGCTCTTGTGAATGTTTTGCCTTCATGGGATTCTGCGTCTTTCTGATGTTTATAAAGTCAGATCCAGAGTCTCTCGTCCGTTCCTCTGATATACTTTGTGCCATAGTCCTTGTATCCGTTTTTTGCATACAAATTCTGCGACGTTCTCTTTGGGTGTTTCCTTGGGATGGGGTAGGACATTCCGTAAGGTCTTGCGAGGTTTTATACCTGTTACAATAGCATGACCATTGTAAATCCAGTGTATGGTGTTTGACAGGATTTTGATGTAAGGGATTACTAAAATTTCTTTCAATTTGTTCTTTTCCTTGGTGTTCCGACCCTTTTTGCTTACATCGAATTCGTTGTTAACTTTCGGGATTGCCTAATAATGTTTTCATGGCGCTATGGATGAGGTTTCGGTCTTGCATCTTGTCTTGTTCTTCGTTAACAATCGTTTCACATCTATTGAGAAGCAATGTTCGGATTACGCCCAACTCCTTGTGTACGTGATAGTGCGATCGGAAGATGAGGTATTGGTCTGTGCAGGTCTTTTTCCTATTGAACAATACAGTATCGTCATCTTTCTTTTTAGCAGTGAGTCATAGTGTCGTCGATTTCTTTCTTTCAAGTGTGAATTTGAGGTTATTTGTGATATTTATGGTATTGATATGCTCAGTCAAATCCTTCTGTGACTTTTTTTTTACTATTTCCAATATGCCATCAACATACCACTTCCATGAACTGGACTTACATTCTACGGGGATCGTAACTATAGCCTCTTCCTCCAAGTGTTCCAGGAATAAGTCGGCCACAGTCAGAGACAATGAACTGTATAATGCTGTGCCAAATCGTTGATGATAGATGTATCTTGGATGGCAACGTACGCTGTTGTAAGCACAAATTCTAGTAAATCCACGATGTCTTGGATACGGAGATTGGTGTTCTTTCGCCATGACCATGACTGTATAGTCACCGAAACGTCACAATCAAATCTTCTACTGGTTGTGTAATAAGATTTTTGTATTTGACATTACCAACCTTAAGAAAAAACAACCTGTTTAGATCTTTGCTTTATTCACTTTTACCATCATCTTTAAAATCCTTTCTTCTCCAGATTGGATCACAATGTAACTTACTGAGCCAGGATCTTCAATAATGATTCACGTATTGCGGAAAGTCCTAAACAAACATCTGACCTGTGCTGCATTCAAGATGGCAGCATGTGTGACATTAGCTAAATATTGTTATCTCTACTTCAAGATGGCATGGAGACAAGACTTCCTACAATGAATTGTTGATAGTCCAAGATTAGTTTTCATTTTAGGTATGATATTAGTAGGCCAATTTTAAGAATATTTAACGGAACATGTGATTTTTATCTTTGATTAAGGATTCAGGGTCTGTTATTATGCTAATACGTGAGATTCATCACTCAGAACTATAGCATAAACATATTGTCCATAATAGGAAAATTTGTATTTTTTTTGTATGAAGATAAGTATAGATGTATGGAACAGCAACACAAATTAGATGCGTTCCAGTCTGAGAGGCTAATTCATGTTTAAATTCGCTAAGGACATTGAGGACATTGTGGCACTTTGGTAAATTGTTCATATACGTTTATAGCGAAACATTACCAGATTCACATTCAGATACATCATTAAAGTGTCACATATTTATACATAAAATACATATACTTTACACACATACGAACAAAAATAACTGTAATAAAATGGATAGAGTAAAGTAAAAAAAAAAAAAAAAAAATCAAAACCCAGCCATATCTTCTGACTTACGATAAACTGAAAATCGATTTAACCAAGAGCATTTGGTAAATTGATACATACATGTATATATATAAAACATCATGTGAATCTCTATCAAGCTATTAATAAGACAGATAAAATGCACAGTTACCAATATATACGTATTATGTCCTTGTGCTAGTGTCATTGTAGTAGGGGTTATTGTTCCGATGTGGCCTAGGATTCGAACCCTTGATCTCTGACACTCAAACAATCGAGCGAAAGTGACGCAGATTTAGATTTAAGTTGCAGCTAATAAACTGCGAGAGGGTTGATGAAATAGGTTAAACCAGATATAAGTTAAGAACGGTGAGCGAGGGGTGAGGATGTTGCTTCATATCCAAATCTTAAGTGATTCTATTTGGAGAGAGTGTTCGTAATTCTTTGTGATCATTCTCATGATCTTGTTATGTTTTGATTGGAAGTATGCTCTGATATTATTGTACGTCGACGGAAAATGATTTTTATAGATAGAAAACAAGTTATATAAAAAATGTCCGTTTTATAACTCTAAAGCTGTGAATCGAAATGTTTTTTGCCAAAAAGTAAACTTTTACGAAGCATAACGCGGTGTAGTTGTCTACTTTAATAAACAGTATCAACGATATAGATTTTTAAATTACCCGCCTAGAAAAAATCGAAACTAGACATACAATCTAGAACTAGCTTTACGTCAACCATCCAAGATGGCGACGCCCATGGAGTCATCTGCGAACAAAACATCAGAGGAATTTCTACCAGGAATAAAGGATGTTACAGAGTTCACACAGGTACAGTCATCTTAATAAGTGTGTCCATTGTTCAAGTTTTGTAATATTGACAAGATCAAAGTCGATATATTGTTTTCTTTTACTGCTGCTCAGTCGCGCACGTGCACGTGTCATATTTGGTAGCTGATCGCGAGTATGATCGCCGTGCACTGATGCAGTTGATTGTATACTGGTGTGTGTGACATTTATGATTATGCAAGGAACTATTATTTATGGAGTCAGAGACGTATGTAACACATACCTGCATCTATCTCTGATGAAGTAGATAAACTATGTTTTGTTTTGAAATTCTGAAGTGTACAGAATTGTTTTTTCTGAAACCCGAATCAAACAGAAATTGCATCTTAAAACTGTTGTATTTCAAACAGTGAGATGACTAAGATGAGTCAGGCAGTGCCTGGAAAGAACAAAGTTACATGACGCAATGACTCTCAGTTGAAAGTATCAGGGAAAAACATCGATAAATTTTGGTTAACAGGTAGTGCTTCAAGAAATAAAGAACATTTGGCTCACTGCAGCCAGTGATTGATCGTGAAATTAATGTTACATTGATGTTTTGTGTACTTGTGTATATGTTGTGAGTTTATGTTATTGGTTGGCTTAATACGTCATGTTCATGGACAAATTTTTATCCATTCCAATTTCATTACAATCATCTTTAATGTTTTGTAAAAATTAAAATTAAACCAAACAAATAAAAGAAATTTGCTGTCAACATTTTTTTGGTTAACATTAACTACAGGAAAAGAGCAGAACACCTACGCTTCATGCCTTTCATTCAGAGAAGAATTTTTCACAGACATATCATGTCCTGGGACTTGTCATCCAGGAAGAGAAAGAACATGTTTCTTCTGATCTGCCATTCCTATTTCGCATCTGATAATGCATCAGTATCATAATTTGACCAGTAGGGGCCTCTCTTTGTAACCTTTGTCCGAGAACATGTAAAATTTACTGTAAATTTAGTCATCACAACAAACTGTCTTTTGATCTTATACTAAATTATTTCGTAAGAAACAGAAACAATCTCATACACATCAATAAACTGACATCTCTAGACTTACATACATTTTTCTTCCAGTCAGATCCAACATCCACATAGTCAAATACTCTTTATGGAATAGGATGTCAACAAAGCAGATGGGATGGGAACATTGAATGCCAAACAAGATGTGTTTTATGAAACACTTTACCCTGATTGCAACAAAATAAATGAGATATCAAAACTGTACTGTTTAAGGCATGTGTTAATTACATACACTTTGTGAAACACTTACGTGTTCATTGTGGTGATGATTTTTTTTTACTTTCAAATGTAAGTCAAAGGTCATGGTAAAGATCACACGGTCAAAACATTTTTGTACCACTAGAAAGGTCTTGTCACAAGAAACACACATTATAGATATGACAGTCCTAACTCATTCAATGCAATAGTTTTTGGCTAAGTTAATATTGACAACAGACAAACCATCAGCACAAAAACAATACACCTCCAATCTTTTTCTACAGGGGCATAAAAATTGAACAGGATGTAATTATTAAGTAATGGTTTTGTCCATCTCTCTGATGTAAATTTCATTTGTCCAGAGATCTCCTCCCAGTTTTGAACTGATCTCTTTCAAACTTGGTAATTATAAGCTAAAATAACCATGACATGAAATTGTGTTTTTTGGACACATTTGATTTTAATGTATTTGAAAAAATTGCTGTCCTTTGTTGTTTTCATAATGTTCATCTTGTCTGCAAATATCTCTCAGTTTTCATCATTTTCTTTCAGATTTTGTAGGTTTAATAACTATGATATGCTATTATGTCTTTTATTCAGCAGTTTGATTTGACTGTATTTGGAAGAGTTACTGCCCCTTATTGTTTTCTAATGTAACATGTAATATTGTCTGTCATGTTTCCAACCAATTTCAATTTCTTATAGACTTTGTAGGCTTTACCATTTATGAAATTGTGTTCTAGTGATCGAGCAGCATTTTGATTCAACAATGTTTAAAAAAATATATTGCTCTTTGTTCTTTGCAGTATTTAAATCTTGAGATTTCTTTCTATGTATAAAACGATATGCTTCAATTTGTCATTAAAACATATAACATGTTTTTTTCTCTTGACATTTTGAATCATTACTACTAATGTCAAAATTGCATTCTTTTCTCATGCAATAAATTATGAATATTGCTTTGGTATGAAGCAGGCTTACATTGGAACTCTTGTTGGTTTTCATTGTCTAATTAGTTTTCATTGTGGCAGATATTTTCATTTTGTTTGTTGTAATTTGTATGTTTCAGAAAACCCTGCGTGCTGTACTACAAGCTACAAAATCTTCAAATGATCTGCCAGCTGCAGGGGATGATTTTGATTATTACTCTAGTTTCCAAGGCTTCAGGGACATACTTGACGTAGAAGGGAAAAGAATACTTCACATGTATATAGATTTAAATATTACATTGTACATTAACTAGAGTGTATATACCTGCCTGGGCTCTTTATTTTAGAGAGAGAGACTCAAGATTTTTCTGAATTCAGAAATGTGAACATGTTGGATGGATAGAAATTCTTGGCTATTGATTTTTTTCCTATGAAACTTGAATATTCACATCAGATTTATTCAGCTAAAGATAACTTCAGTTTAATTCTTTGTTTGAATATGCATCAAATGATGTTCTTCACTTCTATATCTATTGAACAGTGTTGTGTATAGTAGTCCTGACACGTCTTGTCTTGTGTTGTAGTGTACAGAATGTGATGCAGCATCAGAATGTCCGTGGAAAGCTCTCCCACGGTAGTTCTGATGTCCTTGACCTGGAAGACAAATTTGATGTCTTGACTGATGCAAATGACCAAATACTTGAGAGAGTGGTAAGTATATTGAAATATATATGGTCTGATGATATAACTATTATAGTATTGACCAATCAGAAAGGTGCTTTTATTTGATGCATTGAACTCCTTGTTCAATATCCAGGCCATGCTATTGTTCCAACGGCTCCTTTTTATTAAACTTATACTGTATGTGTACATACATATGCTAATGAAGGAAAGATCGATCAAGTCATTTCTGTGTCAGATCTTTGCACACTGCAAAGTTTGTTTAAATCAATGTTTTAAACACTACACACTGTGATGCTAACTTGTAACATCAAATTCAAAATGCTTCTGAAAAGTGTGATGTCATTATGGAACAAAAATTACAATACTGTTTCTGACCTATATTTGACAGATTTTTTTGTTATTTTCTTTCAAAGCTGGAATAAATTATATTCTTTATGATTGTATATTTCATAATAAAATATATAGATATTTTGTAATGTATATGGTATTTAAAGAGTTTTAAGTGAAAATTAAGATGTATCATTAATAGTTATTATCATAATTATGTATCTGTAGTTGATGTTGTTATCTCCTTCCCAGTGGTAGTTACAGTGTAGATTTGTTACCTATCATTTCTCCCAGGGAAGCTGGTTGGATGAAGCATCAGGAATCAAAAAGAAAGATAACACTCTTGTTATTGCAACAGCCACACCCAAACAGCAGGCTTCCACAAGCTGGAACAAAAAGGTCGGTCTGTTGAAGGTTGATCATATATCATTCAACTACATAATACAAACAATTCATATTTATCAATTAAGAAATTTCGTAATTTATTGAATGGAATTGTTGCATACTTGTTTTAGGTCATCTTGATCTTTCAGGTCAGATGACCTTTAGTCATCGTGCTTAGTCCATCATCGTGCGATGTGCATCGTGCTTAAACTTGAATTTTAAAACCCTACTCCTCTTACATACCTTGATGAATTTCAGCCAGATTTAGTCTGATGCATCATTTGGCGGGGCCCCAAAAGGGGAAGTTAGACAAGATTTTGCTTCAAAATGCTACTTTTTCTTAATATTTGAATGGGTTTCAACCAAATTAAGTCTAAAACACCATTGAGAATGGGGAATCATTTCTTAAATTCAGAAGGTTGATTCAACCCTTAGTTCATTGCCTTGATCCACTTGAAAGATTACAGGGATCAAGTGTGTTGAAATGCTTAAGCAACTTCCTCTCAATAACCGAAAGTCCCAGGATGATGATATTAGTCTTTTAGCATGAGGACTACCAACTTTGTAAATATGAATGACATTAACCCAATTTCAAGGTCACAGGTTTCAAATGTGTTAAAATGCTTCTTTTTAATAACCAAAGGGCCAAGGGTCTTGATATTGGGCCTGTAGCTTGCTTTTCCAACAAGCAATACATCCAGAGTAATGGCAACGGATAAAGGAAGTGTTATGAGCTATCTGCATCAGATCAAACATTTGGCTTTATTCAGTAGTTGTTGACAGATATCGGTTAAGAAATCAACGTTATTTCTGTATATATTGTAGAAAAGCACCTCTGCTACAAAGACTGCCATCAGCTACCATCTCATGTCTGCTAAAAATATCTTACGTCCACAATTACGCTTCAAAGACAAAGTGAACAATGGAAACCAACCATTTGTTCCACAGCTGAAAGAGAAACCAAACGCCTTAAAGTCACTAGAAGGTATTTGTACTCACTTTATAACATTGAATTATTTGCAGCTTGTATCTTGATATATCATCTGTTTTATTATGGCCTCTTTTTTTTTTCTTTTAACAAAAACTTCAAATGATGACCTTGAAAAAATTTCAGGCAGTGAATCTTATGTCAACGTCAAAATTTTGAAACAGAACTTTGTCTTCTCTACATAAATCTCATGTGTTGGCTTTATTCTCTATATTTGGAAGAAAAGATATTCATATTTCTGGAACACAAATATATTGTACTTGGTGTTAGTGTGGACAAGTATCTGGAACTAAAAGCTGAGGTATGGGAAGCATACCCCGCTACAGACATTAACATCTGACGGATAATGTTTGTAAAATATTTTTAAAACACAAAATCATGTAATGCATTCCTCTAATTTTGACTGCCTTCATCCTCTGATAAATTATACTATCCTGAACCATGTTCAGTATGCTGTTGTGTGACATTGTGAGTATAATAATTGATATCTTTCATTCATAGACAGTATGCGATTACCGGAGGATATAACAGCAGATATTGCAGAAAGTCCAGAATTTTTGTAAGTCTTATTCTTTGAAATTATCATGAAGCATTTCTTTACATAAAATACTGAAGAACTGAGCTTAATCAATCCATTTTTGTCAGACCCTGTTCCCCAAATGTATATGTCATTTTTACGACTTCATTAAAATTTACAGATATGCTAGGCATAACCAGCAAACTACATGTACTGGTATTATATCCAAAGGCAATTAACTTGTCAACTGTTTAATGTCAAAATGTTTATGTGGAATATTGATTTAGAGAGAAAACTTTTTTTTACTTAAACTGTTTTTTTATATAATTATAATGATAATGAGTAAAATGTTGGTAAGACAAGGTTTGACATTTATTAACAGATACCCACACCCATACCAGTATGAATTGGACCGTTGGAAACCAGACCCAAATACGCTGACCTCGGTAGAACCAATAGTAAGTGAAATGTAATGATACTGTTCAATCTTTCCTTGTTATGACTGAGTAAATACTAACTAAATGACCAATTGAATATCTTTAATCTTTTCATAAAACAACAAATGTTCTTTATTAATGTGTCTAGTTAACAAAACTATAGTAACTTCGCTTCAGTGAGCCCTTCTATGATTATTCAGCAGCAAGTGTGTATGTATATGATAAACATGAAAATAGCAACTTAAATGTCAGCATATGGTTTTGAATTATTTTCCAGGCCCCAAGACCAATAGATGATACCCCTCTCACCATGGTAACCAAAGTGTCGGAGCTAGTGGCATTGTGTGACAAGCTTAAGTCATGCAAGGCTGTGGCAGTGGACCTTGAGGTATAAGTCTGCACATGGAAAAAACATACAATAATTCCACATGGGTTTGTAAAATGTAGGAAATACAAGGAAAATAATAATTGATTTCATGTATCAACTTTTGCCTTCAAATTTCTTTTCAGGTTTATTCTCAAACATCATAATTGATGTTACATTAAACATGATACAGAAAATCAAAATGACCTGTACAAATGATGAATTAATCAGTGTTGTTATAATCTATATCAGATAAAAGTCTTCCCTATTTTTTCCAGCACCACTCATACCGAACGTTCCAGGGAATCACATGTCTCATGCAGATATCAACTAGAGACGAGGACTTTATTGTAGACACATTGGAACTTCGTAGTGACCTGCATATGCTCAATAGTGTGTTTACAGACCCTGCGATTGTCAAGGTGGGTCAAGTCTGATATACCTTGTAGGTACTAATGGAGTGGTATGCATTGTAGATACTGCTGAAGTGGTATATTTTATAAATACAACTGGAGTGGTAGACTGTTATTGTGTCGCCTGCAGAGCTGGCGAACACTTAGGGATGTCTTTGTCCGTTGTCACGCGTCGGCTGCATCCATACGAAAGTTTTCTGCGCTTTTTTGGGTTAACGTTTGAGTTATTGAAATGAAATTTAATCTATGGCTTCTTGTTGGAAGGGTACATATTAAGTTTGATTCCTGGCTGTCTGTAACCCTTCTTGGCAGAATTATGCCCCTTTGAACTTAGAAAGTTCTCTAGGAATATTGTTTTCTGGACTTTCTTTGATTATGCTTTGAGTTATAGAAATGAATTTTGGTATATGGCTTCTTGTTGGAAGGGTACAGATTGGTTTTGATTCTTGGCAGTCTGTAACCCTTCTTGGCAGTGATATGTCCCTTTGAACTTAGAAAATTTCTCAGGAATATTGCTTTGCGCAGTTTTCCCTTTTGCTTTGAGTTATAGAAATGAAATTTGGTATGACAACTTTATGGTTGAACGTTGCACATCCAGTTCGATTTCTGGGTTACCATGACACTTTATGCAGGCGACACATACAGTTCCGAGGAACTCTTGTTATTACTAGAGGACCAACACCCTTGTAAATACTACAGCAGTAATTACAGGACCTGACATTATGTTTTAGGTACTCCATGGTGCAGACTCTGATGTGGACTGGCTTCAGAGGGATCTTAGTCTATACCTAGTGAATATGTTTGACACAGGCCAAGCTGCCAGGGTACTCAACTTGGCAAGGTTTTCTCTAGCCCATGTTCTCAAACAGTATTGTGGGGTGGAAGCAGACAAACAGTACCAACTAGCTGACTGGAGAATTCGGTAAAAATTAAATCATGCTACAATGTGTGGGTCAGAGACTAATTGCTGTTCATCAGAATGATACACACTATAAGAAATTTTGCCCTACACCTAGTGAATTTAAGTCAGTGTATAGGTGGAAATGCTGAACACCACAAAGGCATTGATCTGTATTACCAAAATGTATTTTGAGATATTCTTCATAAAATCAAAATTAAAAATTACAGAGAAGCTGCTCGTTGATTGCAGAGATAAAAAAGTTGCTGTTCATAAAAGATTTATGAAAAACTGCAAATTGAAAAATGTTTTGTGCATTTTACAGTCTTAACAAAATACATGTTATAATTTTGATAGCCTGACATGCAAACGTTTGTAAAGAATTAATGGTATTTTCTTTGTGTATTTCAGTCCCTTACCAAAAGAACTGATAGCATATGCCCGGGAAGACACACATCACTTGCTGTATGTTTATGACAGGCTGAAAAATGAGCTGATAGAGCGAGGCAATGAACAGAACAACTTACTCATCTCTGTCTTCAACAGGAGCAAGGAAATTTGTTCTAAGGTATCACTGAATTGTTTGATGTTTCAACAATTTTCTCAAGTCTGAGTTATATATATATGGGAAGGAGTATTGTACATGAATTTCCATCCAAATGAGATTTACTAAAACAAGTGTTAAAATTTCTCGTTTTGTTAAGTCTGTGATCAGGTAAAATGAGAACTTCGTGACAAATTTCATGAAGCTGATATAAAAAAGAAATAAATGTAAGATTCTGTTTATTACTTGTAAATATTATATTGGGTCTGTTTGTCAAATAGACCTATATTGAATACTATGTCCTATACAACATTACAGGAATTCTTCTCTGACGCAATATCATGGGTCAGTTAACACCAATTTAGGTGTAGATAAGCAAAGAGGTGAAAGTGTCAAATTTAAGGACATAAAGAAACCCAGAAAAATTACCTTCACTAATAACTGTTTTACATTTTCCAGGTATATAGGAAGTACATATTTAAGGAAGATGACTATCTAGAACTGTACCATAAAAGCAAAAAAGTGTTCAATTCACAGCAACTCCATGCACTCAAGAATCTATATATGTGGAGGGACCAAACCGGACGAAGGGAGGATGAGAGTCTTGGGTCAGTATACGGAATAACTATTTTGGATTAGTGAGTGTTGAGGGAGACTGTCATATGATATGTATTTAATGATGAGGATGAGAGTCTTGGGTCAGCATACAGAATTACTATTTTGGATTAGTAAGTGTTGAGGGAGACTGTCATATGATCTGCCAATGTAATATAAATGTTAAGGTCACACAAGCATAGAAAACACCATTAGTTACCACACAGAGATTCCACCTCAAAATGACCGTAACTGTTAACCCAACTAACAAGCATAGAAAACATCATCAATTACCACATAGAGATTCCACCTCAAAATGACCCTGACTGTTAACCCAACTAACAAGCATAGAAAACAAACAACTATATGCCTTATGGATATTTAAAATTGCTGTGCGTAAATGCCCTACACCAAAAAACAAAATTCTGCACAGCATCTTACAGTTTTACATGTCATTCTTCTATGGCTGCATTGTGTAACAAGAAATGTGTGTCAAAAAAGGAATCTCTCTTTAGAATTGTGATTTATTGCAGGAATACAAAATAATTTTTAAAAAGCATTGATACATATTTTCACAGCAGGTCTTTATACTTTAACATAGGTATGTGTTGCCAAACCACATGCTGCTCCAGGTTGTAGAGATCCTGCCCCGAGAAAGACAGGGAGTGCTGGCCTGCTGTAATCCAATCCCACCACTGGTGAGGCAGTACCTCCCAGAAGTTCACAGCATTATCACAGAGGCCAGGGAGAAACCCCTGGAAAAGGTCAGTATCTTATGTCTGTATTCATATCTGTCATCATTATTTGGACAAATTTGTGATTGCAGATTTAAGTAAACAGCTGGTTATCCTACAGCACATAAGAAATTAACATTTTGCAAAAATGATGATATGTAATTTTATGCATTTATGTGGGAATGTGACAAGCAATGCTTTTATTTTTAAGGTCCAAAATTTTCTCCATTACCATTTCAAACACTCGTGTTATATCTTAACTGATTAAAATTTCACAATCTCCTGGATGTAAAAAGGTATCTAGTACACAAGTGTCTCATTATTTCATTGTTTTTATTTATATTCTTATTTTTCTTGATCAGAGGACAAGTGATCAAAGATTTTTTCATAGCTGAACATGAGAAGTAAATCTCTAATCAATTCTTATTAGATCATTGCTAATTGTGTATAGGTCAGGCGTTTGCTAGATTAAGACAAGTAACTGAGCTGCCTACATCAAGTATATGTACCATAGGGCCACATGTAGTATTATCGTTTTACAGCCTCTGAGTATAATTATCTTATATTTTGAGATCCTCGATCAGTTTTGTAGTTACAAAAGAAGTTTAGACTCAGAGATATAGATGTAGAAAGGATAGAAGAATATAAGACTCTTTTCTATATGGGTATGTAGGATAGGGATATTCCACCCGAGGGGTCACAAAATGTGGTAAAACCCGAGGCTTGCCGAGGGTTTTTACCATATTTTGTGATCCCGAAGGTGGAATATCCCTATCCTACATACCCATATAGAAAAGAGTTTTTTTCTCTCATTTCTAATCTCATATTATCAAATATTTGCACTCACCTCGCGGTAGCCATCACTGGACGCCGCCATTTTTCAGATTTCTATTTTTTTCCTTGGGCCATATACATAAAAAATATGCTGAAATAGATTCTCCATCCCCGAATTTTGCAAACTATGTTTGCGGTCGAAAACATAATATGGACTTTGAATGTAAACATCCAACGTCAGTGTTTAACTGTTTTTTCTTCAAGCGGGCTGGGTCAAATACCCTGTCAAATACATCACCCAGAGACATGCGTACGCGTTCAAATATAGTGCCTTAAAACACGCAATAAAACAACACTTTTCTTTTTAATATTTACTATTGCTCAATGTATAATATATCATAAACACTTTTTACATCTTTGAACATGTTGGTCAAGTTATTAATACTACTTCACTGTCAATAGTAATCTTACAAATCTTACACATTTATGAATGGAATTCTTGCTTTGCTTGTGAGATGACGTCACTTACGTCACACATTTCGCGCCACACCGACAGGAGGAAAGTTAGTCATTGTCACTTTCAATCACAGGTGGACGACGGCGGAAAGGCCGAGTCCCAGGGTTGGTGATGTTGATATTTATAAAACAGTTTTGTTAATACGAGCCTGCAAACAATGACTCCAATCGACTATGCGTGTTTGTGGATGAAGCGGATGACGAGGACATAGTCGATGAGTGCGCGGGAAAAAACTATGAATTACTCCGCGCGCGAGGCTTTATTACACAGGCGCCTGTGTAATAAACGTCTATCATGACCATGTTTATTGCCCTGGACAGGCCTATCTGACACAGGTGGAAATGAGAGAAATATATATATCATATTTGATCAATTGTATAAGTATTCAGTTTCAAAATAGATAATATATTTAAATAGTTATTGATGTTGACAGGTAAAAAAGAGAAAGGTGAACAGACCATCTTACCAGCAGCATCCAAAGTATGATGGTGAGAGTTTGTTATTGTGTCCACATGATCTGTCACATCAGTTGTCACAGAAACCAAGAGAGGAGTCGGTGTTGTTACCAGGTAATCACAATAACAGGGTCACAGAAATCACTAGAGTCATGCTTGACAAGTCAAGGTCACAGTAATCACTACAGTCATGCTTGACAAGGTCACAGAAATCACTAGTCATGCTTGACAAGACAAGGTCACAGAAATCGCTACAGTCATGTTTGACAAGGTCACAGAAATCACTAGAGTCATGCTTGACAAGACAAGGTCACAGTAATCACTACAGTCATGCTTGACAAGGTCACAGAAATTACTAGTCATGCTTGACAAGACAAGGTCACAGAAATCGCTACAGTCATGCTTGACAAGGTCACAGAAATCACTACCGTCATGCTTGACAAGACAAGGTCACAGTAATCACTACAGTCATGCTTGACAAGACAACTTCACAGAAATCACTACAGTCATGCTTGACAAGATCACAGAAATTACTATAGTCATGCTTGACAAGATCACAGAAATTACTATAGTCATGCTTGACAAGGTCACAGAAATCACTACAGTCATGCTTGACAAGGTCACAGTAATCACTACAGTCATGCTTGACAAGACAACTTCACAGAAATCACAATAGCCATGCTTGACAAGGTCACAAAATCACTACAGCCATGCTTGACAAGGTCACAGAAATCACTACAGTCATGCTTGACAAGATCACAGAAATTACTATAGTCGTGCTTGACAAGGTCACAGAAATCACTACAGTCATGCTTGACAAGATCACAAAATCACTACAGTCATGCTTGACAAGACAATGTCACAATATCATTACAGTCATGCTTGACAAGACAAGGTCACAATATCACTACAGTCATGCTTGACAAGGTCACAATATCCCTACAGTCTTGCTTGACAAGGTCACAGAAATCACTACAGTCATGATTGAGGAGACAGGGTCACAGAAATCACAATAGCCATGCTTGACCAGGTCACAGAATCTCAATAGCCATGCTTGACAAGGTCACAAAATCACTACAGTCATGCTTGACCAGGTCACATAATTCACTTTAGCCATGCTTACATATACCAGTTGTGTGTGGATGTTTCGGAACAAATGCTGCTTACACATCATTGTAATGTATGCACCTGTGAAGAATGTGTCATACTGTCGTCCATGGTTTTAGGTAGTTTTGATTAGGTGATTAAATCTTCTTTCTGGTAAATGTATTTTTTTCTCTGTGGTAATGAAAATACATTAATGAGAATAAGATAAACTTAGAGGTATCACAAATTTTCCATCCAAATTCACCAGTGTCAAGTGTCTATAATTGTTAAATATATCTAGTTTAATCCTTAATTGTGGATTGTGAAGTATAAAATGATGTGCTATACCAGTGTGTATTATTTAACCAGACCCAAGGAACCTGACAGAAAGCTGCTCCTTGTCACGCTCCTGTGATCTTCACCCAAGCATCACGCTGAAGACCATTCCAAATCTTAGTGCCTTTGGTTCTCGTCAAGTGAGTAGGCAGGATATATCAACATGATAACAAATCAGATTTGTACTGACTGTATCTAAATGTTGTACAAACCATTTTGAATTATTGTAATAGTACACTATTATTATCCATATGAGAATTTAACGGAGCCAGACGTCTTTTATCTTCATATCTTGGCTTGTAGAATTGTGCAGACAAAATAAGGTTCATAGTCTTAAGTGTTAAACGTCTTTGTATTGTCCCTTTCTAACATAATTTTGAAATACCTGACATCTGTTTTGAATTTGTATAAAGTTTGTCTTTACTTCAGAACCCAACAGAAGAATCTCGAGCGATGATGGTTGCTGCTAAGATACGAGACCTTTTTGTTAGTCCATTTGAAAAGGTAATTATTATTAAGTGTTGTGTACCATCACATTGATAGAGTATACCATCAATACCCTTTGTAGAGTGTTTTATATTATCATTTGTAAGCAGCATTTTCCTTATCAATCATACAAGTTATTAACAAAAAATCTAGAAAAGAAAAAAAATTCCTGATATTCAAAAACCTTTTTTTTTGTTTTTTGTATAAGATAAAACTGGGGAAATAATGTTTATCTCTAAAATATCAAAACAATGAAAGGGACCAAATGTTTAGTTCTGCCAACAACTTGATCATTACGAACATATACTTATTTGAACTGAGCACTAAAGTTAGAAATGCTTTGAAATGACCCAATGTTTTCCATATAAAGACAAATAAATTATGATTTTACTATTGGGCACTATGATTTATATCAGATGAATACCACAGGCATTTATGCAAAACATAAATTTACTCAGTTTAATTTCAAGGATATTCTTCTTATTAATGGTAATGGAATGTTTATTTGTCCACAATCAATAGTCTGGAAAGACAATGTTTCTAACGTCTGCTTAAAGAAATAAGTTATCATTAGAATATGTCTCAAATTGATAGACTTGTGAAAGTTTGATTTGGCCTACATAGGAGTATCCAAATGATACCATTGATACCATATAATAGTGTCATGGAATAAGGAATGCTATTTAACACCAGAACATTTCCTAGCATACTGTAAACACTTTCTAACTTTTGTCTACAATTGAAATTTTATACCTTAAAACTTACAATTTTTTTGTAAACTTTTGCAAGAACCATCCAGGGTCAAATATAAGCAAAGTTGTACTTTTAAAAAAATGCCTGTATCACAGAGCCCATAAGAGTGGGGGAAAAGTGATCAGACTGGCTGAAAATGACATTTTCTCTATTAGGCTCATTGTAGAATCAACAACTTCTCTTGGATGGCAGGGTTTAGGGGTTAGGCATATTGCATTGAAAGTACTGTGTTTTTGTCTTCTCAAAAAGAATAAGGAAAGTTATAACTTCATACCTTCTATAATTTTTGGTTGATGTCAGATTCATTATGTAAGAAAGATTTGATATTGATACTGATCACAATATATAAAGATGTATATCCCTTTAGTGTATAAATTACAATGTACTTCCCTGTATCACAGGATATTGCAATATACATACCTGTTTATTTGCAGTATTTACCAGTCACAGAGATGTCACCAGTGAAGAAAACATCCAACATGAATTCAAAATCGTCTGAGGGCATACAGCTGGTGAGGGGTATATTCCTATCCACTATAAGTGAAAAAAATATACATTGATTTTCCTATCCAATCAGACTTTAAGTTTGAACACAGCAATTTGATTTTAATTATATAATTATAATTATAATATAATTACCTATAATTGCTCACTACTGCTTATTTCTGTTGTTAACCTTCTTTGATAAGGTCCAATTTATCATGACAACTGATAACTGACTACAACATTGTTATATTCCACAATAAATAACAAACAATGTTGTTATGGGAACTTGACAACAGTGAATGTTGGGAAGGTGGTCACAAAAAATCTACTTTCATATTTATTTGTTCTTTTCTGGAATAAAATAAAATAAGGTACAATTAATCGACACATATGAAGAGGAATTGTTGTCCATGCCATAACATATAAGAAAAGATAAGAGCTTTTTACTTTCAGTTAACCCATGAAAACTGGAATCTCAGAAAGCATCAATATTATTACTTGTCTATGAATAAATCAGAAATACAATGTTTGTACATGTATACTATACTGTGTCATGTGCTTGATTTAACAAAAGAGTTACATTTAAAGTTATTATTTTATAGATTGATGTGAACTGGAAATTAGTGAAGAATACAGTTAAAAGAAAAATACCAGAAGAAACAGCCTCATCGTCTCCAGCTCCAGGTAGGAAGAAATGAAGTTCATCAAGACATCAAAATTTGTTTATCAAGAATTCATTCTGTGTAAAATAGAAAAATGTGAATTTTCATTTTATAAGAGTATATTGAAATTAGGATGATAATGTTTTTTAATTTTCTGAGGAAATGCTTTAGAATACCAAATAGTCAGTAGAAAATTATTGTTTGATTCTGTCTTTTCTTTCTAGTCTTATACACCTGTCAAAAATTTCGATGAGACTTAAAATAAAATCTACTAGACATGAAATTGTGTTTTTCTGAATGGCAGTTTGAATTGTCTGTATTTGAAAATGTAATGCCCTTCTGTATTTTCATAGAAGAGTTACTTCCCCTTGTCATATCACCTTATCTTAGGTCATCATCATCATCATCATCATCATCATCATCCTTTACAAGTACATTTGTATGCACTTCATTCATTCATTCATTTATTCATTCATTCATCATAAGCTAGCCACAAACATCCCATCATCATCAATACCATCATATTATCAGTTTCATAAGGCATCAATATGTCATCATTCATAATGTTAATCTTGACTAGTATCGTCCTTCTCAGTTTTTAAATGATTTCTTTGAGATTTGGTAGGTTTTAAAACTGTTATATGAGATTATGTTTTCTCAAAAACAGCCAGTTGATTAGACTACATTTCAATAGGTTTTGCCCTTTGTTTTTTTCAGCGTTTTAATCTTATCCAGAGATTTCTGTCAGTCCCCTCAACCCCATCTCTTTATCATTTAGAATATATAATACTGTTTTCCTCTTAAATTTCTGACTCATAATTACCATTAATCTTTGCTTCATTTATTGTACAAGGTACTCTTGTTACATCAGTTTTTAGTGCTGTAAAAAGCCTTAGAAAAAAAAAAGATTTCTGTCATCTGTCAAATTTGTCACCATTTTATGTGTACCTGTAAAATTTACCATCAGCTTCAAGTACTTTTCGAACGTGCTCATTATGGAACTCTCTACAACAAAAGGTGCTTGTCCCCATAAAGTGAGATACTCCCTTAAGATGTTTTCATTTTTTAACATTGATTTAAGGATTACATTTTCCCTTGGTAGATCCTCCTACCAAGCGTCAGAAGAAGGAAGAAAATGACGAGGAGGAAGAACAAACTCCTCGCAAAACTTTGTCTCAGGTCAGTTATGTTTTCAGATCCAAAATCAAATTACTGATGTCATCTCAAGGTCTGTTCATTTTGTAGCCGTTTCATAAATTTGTGACATTCCTGAAACTCTAGTATTGAATTCAGTTGCTTTCTAAATGTTAGAGATTTTGAGTTTGATTTTTCTAGGATAAGTCTCATTTGTTTCTGAAACCATATTAATATATCATTACAGATATTGAAGGCAAAGTACAGTAAGTTGCAGAAGGTCGAAAAGATTGGTGTTACCAAGGACTTGACTGAAGCAGACGAGAAGAAAAAGAAGAAAAAAACTAAAAGTATGGCTGACCTCGAGGACAGTTTCCAACCTTACGACTACAGCAAGGCAGACAGCAGCATGTTTCAGGGTAATTTTTGTTAGGATGTTACTGTCAGATCTGTGTGTGTGGATGTCCATGTAATGTAGTGTTTTATTTCTTGTCTTTTAAACAGGTACAATTAAAATGCAGTAAAACCCTTCTTCGTTGAACCCGCACTGCTTGAGTGATCGCTGCATGTACCTTACAGTCTTTGATCAGCCACTGATAACTCAATCTTGTGTTTCTCAAACTATTAACGTGATCCCATGGAGTTTGGTTTAGCAGGGTTGTATTGTAAATGCAGATGGAAGTTTATTGTATTGTGTAAAATTTGTTTATTTCTATTGTACAGATTTTAACAGTTTTACACTTGTAATCTACTTTTCATGAGACTGATTATGGCTCTCTTTATTAATTTGTGTTTTATTCTATTCACAAAAATAGCAAAAATTTTAATTCATCTAAAATAATAATTTTATGTATGGTACTTATTCATGTTGATAAGTTTGGTAACAAAATGCTGAACAACATGAAAATGATTTGCAATTCATATTAAGTAAGGGAATCAATTATTTTTTAGGTGGTACTACTAGTAAATCAGACGCATATAACCCCAACAGATACTATGGGTCAAAGGACAAAGGTAACAAGGTAAGTTTGAAGTGAACAAATAGAGCAATGATGTTTTATCAAAACATTTTTAGTATAAATCTTAACCCTGTAGGAATTTAGCACTGTTATTACCAATGTCAAGGTCAAATGTCAGATAAGAAGACTATTGTCGTTTCAATATTTTTCCATTGTTATCTTTTACCCAGCTGAGATAACAACATGCAGAAACTTGATATACAAATATGTATGATACTTGCAGATCTTTGCCCAGAAAGTAGGTCAGTGTTACTTTTACCTAACAGTTTCTATTCCTTAGATAGAAATTTTATGAATATTTTCATTGACATTATAAGGCAGAATTAACTGAAATCCATTTGTAAGTCACCTGACTAAAGGTCAAGTTCACCAAGACAGAGGTCAAGTTCAAATGATAAATCCTTTGCTGGTATATATTTTAATGTTACGAAGCATAGTTGATCAGTATTGGATAAGATCACTTGACTGAAATTCAAAGTCATGGAGCCAAAAGCCAGGGTCATTGGGTCAAAAGTAAGGGTCACTGGCTAGGTCAGAGTTCATTGCCAGATATTAAATATTTCAATGGTGAATACATTTTTCTAAGACAGTATGAAGCAAAGTTGATCAGAGAGAAAGGTCATATGTCAAAGTTCAGGCCAATATTCATTCTCTTACAATATAACTGGTTAACAATTTCAAATGCTGTTTGAATAATGAATATCATTTTCTGTTAGTTAGATCACTATGTTCTTAACTAAAAAGAAACAATTTCTGTTGTGTTTATAAAAACAAGTTTCTAATCTGTTTCTGATTTCAGTTTTTTAATCAAACATTTATGTTGGTATCTTAGCATCCAGAGTAGACTTATTATTGTTGCTGTAAAAAGAAGATTGAAGAACATTAGCGCTCCCAGTGAGAAATGTGTCACTGACAGTGTCTTACCAATAATTCCATTGATAAATATTCCCAGGTCTTTTAACAAAAGCCATTTAATTGAATGAGAAATGCGCTGTTTTCATTTTGAGAAGGACAATAGTTACATTTTGTATATTTAGAACAGAACAGTATATGGATTCACATAGAGCATTATATAATGCAGCATTATAGATAGGAAATTGCTAATTTGATTCCTACAGCTTATAAGGTGAAGAACAATATCATAGCAAGATTTTAACAGCAAATATCATATTACTACTAAAGTTTTACTATTACTCTTTTTTGACCAGGCACCAAAACCCAAGCTGTCCACATTCAAATCCAACAAAAGTTACAGCTATAAGGACAAGAAACCACGGCACAAGAAGTGATCATCATATCTACTACAAGATATACAAATTCACATGATCCTTGTTTAGTAAAACAGGATTTTACACCAGATTTTGACCTACAAGTGGCTCTAACAATCCATAGTTTCTGGTTGGTCAATGGGTTTTCATCAGCACTTTCACATCCCTCTATTGCCATACTTTTGTACAGCAGATGTTTTCAGTTCAACAGATACTGCTTTGGAAACAGTCTAGTATGTAATTCTGTTGATGGAAACGTATGGATGTGATTGGTATTTTGGCTGTAAGTTAGTTAGAACTTTGTATCTGCAGGTGCACTATGATAAATATAGTGTCAGTCCATTCAGACAGATTTCTTAGAATCAAGAATGAAAATATCTGGAATTTTGATACAATAAGGATGTACCCCACGATGGCAATTTAGGGTTTAATAAATTCTGGAGGTCAAAGGAGGTAAAATATTTGTAACATTGACCTGTGATTTACTGTCCTGTACCTGGGCACAAAGTGGGGCATTCACTTACCCAATAGTGATTTAAGCTGCATTTGTGTAACCCAGTTGAAACGGTTCAGGTGGTCTGGAATCATTCCCCTATATGTGAACGCTATTGAACCAGACATATTTAAAGTAAAAAAAAGCAGTTTCGAACTTTCCTGTCAAGCAGAAATCAATTAACTTAAGATACCCTTCATTCATACTTTAAATCACAATGTTGCCAGAAATATGTGAGTGCACCAACCTTAATTTTTATGCTGAAATTCTGAAAACTAATGATAGTCAGCAAATTAGTTTTGGACATGTACGACTGGACCCCTCAAACTGCACGTGCCAAATATTCCACAGTCCAGCTACAGTCCCGATCTGTACATGGCGTTTTTCTGGCAGTTTCAACCGCTCTAACCGTTTCAACTGCTTCTGCAAAGCGCCCTTAGTTTCTCCCATGCTGATTTTTACTACATGTATTACATGGTGCTAATGCCTATTTTTCAAGAAAAATCCATTTTTTTTAAATTCTCACGAGGAATTTGATCTATAAATTAAAGCTTCATCAAAATAAATGCTTTTTCAACCTTGAAAAGTTACCTCCCTTTGAAAAGCTATTCATCAAAGAAATTGAATAGGATACTTAATATTGATACATCATATATCAGATAATGGCATATCAAGCTGTTAGGTATATACAATGTACATATCAGTAATGCTGGATCAGTTCATATTGTTTAAGTGACTTTGGAATGTTCCATTTCAGTATTCTGATATTACTTGTAGTACACAATGCAAATATGGTCAGTATATACATGTACATGTAGTTCTCAGCTAGTAGAAAATGAACCATTAATGTCTATTTCTGAACGTTTACTTCAGGTCAGTTATGTCAGTAGACCAAAAGTTCTTATTAAACAACCAGTAGATGATTAGAGTGTGACGTTTCGATGACTACACTGTCACTTTCATCAGACAACAGATTAGTTTAGAATGTACTAGCACTGACATATGAAGTGTACCATCTTGTCAGGCTATCGTTAACCTTGGTGTACATAAGATTATAGTGCAGCGGAAAAAGTTGGTCCATTCCTTACCATCTTGTACACAACATATATCAGTGCTAGTATGTGCAACACTGATTATTTGTCTGATGAAGGTGACCTTATAGTCATCGAAATATCACACTCAAATCATCTACTAGTTGTGTTCTGAGAACTTTTAATCTACTGCCAATCTACTTGGATAAGACATTAAAAATACAATCATGTATGTGATTAGATTCCTGATCAGGGACCAAAGTATTATAACTTGATGTAACAATCAATCTATAAGGTCCTTACAGCGTAACACATCTTTAATTTTGGAATTCAGAAGTTTTAATTTGGGAGTTTTAGTCAAATGAGTGACAGATGGATGGAAGTATTAAGGTTGAGATTTCAGGTGAAGGAGAGAGACTTGTTAACGTATATTACATGTATATTGAAATTAAAAGACAGTGATAAAACTATGTGTTAGTTCTTAAGTTTTATGATATGAGCATGTAACATGTTCCTAGCAGTCACCCATTCATTCCTGCACCTTGTCAAATATGCATAAGAATTATTTAAGGACAACTCGCATATCCGTTCTTCTATAGAAAACTGCTTTGATCCAAAGATCAACAAAGACATGCATGTTTTGGATATACATTACACTTCCTGGAATTTGTATTCATTAGATATCAATAATTCAATTTTTTGCCAATAAAGCTAGTTCAACTTTGGCTTATGTACTGAATACAATGTATTTGATGCTGGGATCAATTTGAAAGAGAATAGGAAAGATCTAACTGATAATGAAAAAATAAAGAACATACAATGGTTGGAGCCAAGCCCTCTGGGATCTGTTTGATATATTTAAGTTGGATTGGCTAAGTCAGTATCATCTCTTCAGGTTTTGATTTAGGTCATATGAACTACAGTACAATGTATAAGTTATTTTAACCTTTTCAAGCAAAATGTTGCCACCCCCTCCCCTCCCCACCTTCAGCAAGCAGTGAGCCATCAATTTTGCAATGAGACTCTGTCAGGGTATAATGATGTCACACATTTTGTATGTACACCAGTAATGCTGAGTAATCTTTGGACTTGGAAGGGCATGGTACAGGAAGGCATATATTCAAGCAGATTTTGTGCTTCTCTCTTTAAACTTGATAGTTGCACATATACATTTACAACCAAATAAAACAAAAGTAGGACCTTGTTCAAAATACATGTAATATATATCTACACTGAGGCTGTATAACAGTTATGTTTATCTTCTCACCAAAAGAGCTCTCCAATCAGATATTTTTTATGTTTATCATTGATCAGTTGCTGGGAAATATTTACAATTTAATAGACAAATCAACAAAATTATTTCAATTATACATGATGCCAATTTATTCATCAGAACATTGTACACAATTATACTAAAATTAGACTTGGCTTTTGCTGAATGATAAGCTTTTAATATACTATAAATGTACCTAAGGGATTAAAAAAACCCACTATACATGCAGTATTCATTTTATATTTTATTTCAAAATTAAATAACAATCTCTACACTATGAGGCATACTTAAGATAACCGTGTTCTTTATTCTACTGATTTTCACAATCGTGATACACTGTATATAAACGTATAGGCCAATACTATCAATGGAATGTTTTAAACTGGTAGGTATTTTGTAGGACATGACCTTTTCCTAATATTTAAAATATAAAATACATATGTATGTATGTGCATCTTACTTGCTCGGTATATAGAATCTACCTGGCATGTTCAAGTGGCATTACTATATTTTATACAAAAACCCCAATATATTAATTTCAAAATACATTATGGTTTAAAAAATTAATAAATTATCAAATTGACTGTACATAATATGTAAACATTAAATTACTACGCACATTTTTATCACAGACACCATATCAAAGACAAGTTTACCATTACCAACTGAAAATGGTTTTGTTATTAAGTTAACAATATACAAACAACTTAGAACGTTGATCTTACAAAAACTTCTGGAGAGTTTAAAATGCAACACAATTTTGAGGACAAGGTAGACGTTGAGAGAAAAATCAATAGGAAATGTGAAGTCTCAACTAAGCAGAAGGATTGTGATTACTCTTGTCTTGTACACTAGATGCAGTTTTGTAATAATGCACATCTTGATCATAAACTGGCTGCATGAATAATATGTTATCAAAAGTTTTCTCTTTTTCGCAAATTGTTATGAACAGTACAAAGTTATAATCTTGAATTCGGCATTGGCTGTAATACAGTGCACTTTGAGTAGCATTTTGTTCAGTTTTTAACATTTTATTTTCTTCTGTAAGTATTACGTAAATCAAAATTTCAATTTTCATCCTTTTATATTAAATCATTTTCAAAAAATCAATCTAGCAAAACATAGAAATTATCACTGTATTTACTGAATATCACTGACTATGAAATGAGATTCAATATTAATCAGTTAGTATTGAAGTCATCTTTATAACCTTTTGAAACAGAAATTCAAAGAGACCAGAGAAATTGTCAGGGTTTCTATTCAAGCTGTATAGAAGGACTCCATGTATGAAACACCAAGTGCAACTCTCAATACTGGCTCCAATAGTCCCAAAGAGTGAAAAGGTATTACTTTTGTCATATCTTTCACGGCCGATAATTTTAGGAGTTTGAAGTTTAGAGGAAGTCCACTGTCCTTGACATATCACAGTAAAACCACCAGAAATCAGACGCAGCTCTACACAATAGGGACTACTATGCCACATTTCCTATGTGGCGTGTGCTGTGTATGTCTCGCTGTTTCTTGATCTTTTCCATCTCAAACATAAGTGAGTAGGTTGAGTTAAGCAAGTCTTCTGTTGCCTGCTTAAGAGCCACTGATTCCTCCCCTGCTCCTGCTGTGCTGGCCTGAAGACGTGAGGGCAAGGTCATATCCTGGTAAGACTTATATAGGTCAGCATGGTCAGAACGAGGCTGGCGGATTCTATCCGGGGCAGACGATGTCCAAGGATATGGAAAACTAGCTGCAACTTTCTCAGCATCAGCCAATGTCTGGAATATAAAATACACATACAGATGAGTGGACAGAAGTTATTTCACCAAAGGAGAACAAGCAAAATGCATTTGGTAAAATATTCAGAATTTTCTTTCTTCTCATCTGTTTTTCAGTTTAACAGAAAATTCATTATGACATTACACACTATTTTTCAAGCACAAGCTCACATAAATTATTGATATTTGAATATAAATAAAATGAATTGTGAATGTACAATGATCAAAAGAAAAGCATACCAGAAGCACCACACTCAACTGCTGTCAAACTGATATTTTGTAAAATTTTGTGCATTAATTTTTCCTACTGACCAGAGTATATTACAACCAGGATTATTCTTAAAAGCTAAGCAATTCATTATGTATTGTTACAGTGTAGTCCCTAGCATGACGTCTAGAACCACTAGAAGATCTGAAACTGTTAACTAGTTATAGTTTTAAACTGGTATCTTGTTTGATTTTTGAAATGTATTCCTGTTCAAATGGGAAAAAATCCTGGAACTAATTAATATTCAATTACAACAAACTCTTGGTGTGGAAAAAATTGAAGCGTGTCAGTCAGTTGTGAGACCAGATAACATACAGTCAGGAGCTAGGTACAAAATATATAAATTCATAGATATCACATGGATATAATGATATTGACAATGTAACAAATGGGATAAATACTGAAATGAAAAAAAAAACAAAGAAAAAACTTCATCAAGTCTTCTCTCATGTTAGTTGTAAAAGTAACAAAACACAACAAAGGCAATGAATTCATCGTAGTATTATCCCCCACACAACATCGTAGTATTATCCCCCACACAACACTCTAGCATTATCCCCCACACAACATTGTAGTATTATCCCACACACAACATTGTAGCATTATCCCCCATACAACATTGTCGCATTATCCCCCATACAACATTGTAGCATTATCCCACACACAACATTGTAGTATTATCCCCCACACAACATTGTAGCATTATCCCCCACACAACATTGTAGTATTATCCCCCACACAACATTGTAGCATTATCCCCCCCACAACATTGTAGCATTATCCCCCACACAACATTGTAACATCATCCCACACACAACATTGTAGCATTATCCCCCACACAACATTGTAGCATTATCCCCCACACAACATTGTAGCATTATCCCCCACACAACATTGTAGCATTATCCCCACACACAACATTGTAGCATTATCCCCCACACAACATTGTAGCATTATCCCCCACATAACACTGTAACATTATCCCCCACACAACATTGTAGCATTATCCCACACACAACATTGTAGCATTATCCCCCACACAACATTGTCGCATTATCCCCCACACAACATTGTAGCATTATCCCACACACAACATTGTAGCATTATCCCCCACACAACATTGTAGCATTATCCCACACACAACATTGTAGCATTATCCCACACACAACATTGTAGCATTATCCCCCACACAACATTGTAGCATTATCCCCCACACAACATTGTAGCATTATCCCCCACACAACATTGTAACATTATCCCCCACACAACATTGTAGCATTATCCCCCACACAACATTGTAGCATTATCCCACACACAACATTGTAACATTATCCCCCACACAACATTGTAACATTATCCCCCATACAACATTGTAGCATTATCCCCCACACAACATTGTAACATTATCCCACACACAACATTGTAGCATTATCCCCCACACAACATTGTCGCATTATCCCCCACACAACATTGTAGCATTATCCCACACACAACATTGTAGCATTATCCCCCACACAACATTGTAGCATTATCCCCCACACAACATTGTAGCATTATCCCCCACACAACATTGTAACATTATCCCCCACACAACATTGTAGCATTATCCCCCACACAACATTGTAGCATTATCCCACACACAACATTGTAACATTATCCCCCACACAACATTGTAACATTATCCCCCACACAACATTGTAGCATTATCCCCCACACAACATTGTAACATTATCCCACACACAACATTGTAGCATTATCCCACACACAACATTGTAGCATTATCCCCAACACAACATTGTAGTATTATCCCACACACAACATTGTAACATTATCCCCCACACAACATTGTAGCATTATCCCACACACAACACTGTAGCATTATCCCACACACAACATTGTAGCATTATCCCACACACAACATTGTCGCATTATCCCCCACACAACATTGTAGCATTATCCCCAACACATCATTGTAGTATTATCCCACACACAACATTGTAACATTATCCCCCACACAACATTGTAGCATTATCCCCCACACAACATTGTAGCATTATCCCACACACAACATTGTAGCATTATCCCCCACACAACATTGTAACATTATCCCCCACACAACATTATCCCCCACACAACATTGTAGCATTATCCCCCACACAACACTGTAACATTATCCCCCACACAACATTGTAGCATTATCCCCCACACAACATTGTCGCATTATCCCCCCACAACATTGTAGCATTATCCCACACACAACATTGTAGCATTATCCCCCACACAACATTGTAGCATTATCCCACACACAACATTGTAGCATTATCCCCCACACAACATTGTAGCATTATCCCACACACAACATTGTAGCATTATCCCCCACACAACATTGTAGCATTATCCCCCACACAACATTGTAACATTATCCCCCACACAACATTGTAGCATTATCCCACACACAACATTGTAGCATTATCCCACACACAACATTGTAACATTATCCCCCACACAACATTGTAACATTATCCCCCACACAACATTGTAGCATTATCCCCCACACAACATTATCCCCACACACAACATTGTAGCATTATCCCCCACACAACATTGTAGCATTATCCCCCACACAACACTGTAACATTATCCCCCACACAACATTGTAGCATTATCCCCCACACAACATTGTCGCATTATCCCCCCACAACATTGTAGCATTATCCCACACACAACATTGTAGCATTATCCCCCACACAACATTGTAGCATTATCCCACACACAACATTGTAGCATTATCCCCCACACAACATTGTAGCATTATCCCCCACACAACATTGTAGCATTATCCCCCACACAACATTGTAACATTATCCCCCACACAACATTGTAGCATTATCCCACACACAACATTGTAGCATTATCCCACACACAACATTGTAACATTATCCCCCACACAACATTGTAACATTATCCCCCACACAACATTGTAGCATTATCCCCCACACAACATTTTAACATTATCCCACACACAACATCGTAGCATTATCCCCCATACAACATTGTCGCATTATCCCCCATACAACATTGTAGCATTATCCCTCACACAACATTGTAACATTATCCCCCATACAACATTGTAGCATTATCCCCCACACAACATTGTAACATTATCCCCCACACAACATTGTAGCATTATCCCCCACACAACATTGTAGCATTATCCCCCCCCCCCCACAACATTGTAGCATTATCCCCCACACAACATTGTAACATTATCCCACACACAACATTGTAGCATTATCCCCCACACAACATTGTAGCATTATCCCCCACACAACATTGTAACATTATCCCACACACAACATTGTAGCATTATCCCACACACAACATTGTAGCATTATCCCCCACACAACATTGTAACATTATCCCACACACAACATTGTAGCATTATCCCCCACACAACATTGTAGCATTATCCCACACACAACATTGTAACATTATCCCCCACACAACATTGTAACATTATCCCCCACACAACATTGTAGCATTATCCCCCACACAACATTGTAACATTATCCCACACACAACATTGTAGCATTATCCCACACACAACATTGTAACATTATCCCCCATACAACATTGTAGCATTATCCCACACACAACATTGTAGCATTATCCCCCACACAACATTGTAGCATTATCCCCCACACAACATTGTAACATTATCCCCAACACAACATTGTAGTATTATCCCACACACAAGATTGTAACATTATCCCCCACACAACATTGTAGCATTATCCCCCACACAACATTGTAGCATTATCCCACACACAACATTGTAGCATTATCCCCCACACAACATTGTAACATTATCCCCCACACAACATTGTAGCATTATCCCCCACACAACATTGTAACATTATCCCCCACACAACATTGTAGCATTATCCCACACACAACATTGTAGCATTATCCCCAACACAACATTGTAGTATTATCCCACACACAACATTGTAACATTATCCCCCACTCAACATTGTAGCATTATCCCCCACACAACATTGTAGCATTATCCCACACACAACACTGTAGCATTATCCCACACACAACACTGTAGCATTATCCCCCACACAACATTGTAACATTATCCCCCACACAACATTGTAGCATTATCCCCCACACAACATTGTAGCATTATCCCACACACAACATTGTAGCATTATCCCCCCCCCACAACATTGTAGCATTATCCCCCACACAACATTGTAACATTATCCCACACACAACATTGTAGCATTATCCCCCACACAACATTGTAGCATTATCCCCCACACAACATTGTAACATTATCCCACACACAACATTGTAGCATTATCCCACACACAACATTGTAGCATTATCCCCCACACAACATTGTAACATTATCCCACACACAACATTGTAGCATTATCCCCCACACAACATTGTAGCATTATCCCACACACAACATTGTAACATTATCCCCCACACAACATTGTAACATTATCCCCCACACAACATTGTAGCATTATCCCCCACACAACATTGTAACATTATCCCACACACAACATTGTAGCATTATCCCACACACAACATTGTAACATTATCCCCCATACAACATTGTAGCATTATCCCACACACAACATTGTAGCATTATCCCCCACACAACATTGTAGCATTATCCCCCACACAACATTGTAACATTATCCCCAACACAACATTGTAGTATTATCCCACACACAAGATTGTAACATTATCCCCCACACAACATTGTAGCATTATCCCCCACACAACATTGTAGCATTATCCCACACACAACATTGTAGCATTATCCCCCACACAACATTGTAACATTATCCCCCACACAACATTGTAGCATTATCCCCCACACAACATTGTAACATTATCCCCCACACAACATTGTAGCATTATCCCACACACAACATTGTAGCATTATCCCCAACACAACATTGTAGTATTATCCCACACACAACATTGTAACATTATCCCCCACTCAACATTGTAGCATTATCCCCCACACAACATTGTAGCATTATCCCACACACAACACTGTAGCATTATCCCACACACAACATTGTAGCATTATCCCACACACAACATTGTCGCATTATCCCCCACACAACATTGTAGCATTATCCCCAACACAACATTGTAGCATTATCCCACACACAACATTGTAACATTATCCCCCACACAACATTGTAGCATTATCCCCCACACAACATTGTAGCATTATCCCCCACACAACATTGTAGCATTATCCCCCACACAACATTGTAGCATTATCCCACACACAACATTGTAGCATTATCCCCCACACAACATTGTAGCATTATCCCCCACACATTGTAGCATTATCCCACACACAACACTGTAGCATTATCCCACACACAACATTGTAGCATTATCCCACACACAACATTGTCGCATTATCCCCCACACAACATTGTAGCATTATCCCCAACACAACATTGTAGTATTATCCCACACACAACATTGTAACATTATCCCCCACACAACATTGTAGCATTATCCCCCACACAACATTGTAGCATTATCCCACACACAACATTGTAGCATTATCCCCCACACAACATTGTAGCATTATCCCCCACACAACATTGTAGCATTATCCCCCACACAACATTGTAGCATTATCCCACACACATATTATCCCTCACACAACATCATAGTATTATCCCCCACACAACACTCTAGCATTATCCCCCACACAACACTGTAGCATTATCCCACACACAACATTGTAGTATTATCCCCCACACATCATTGTAGCATTATCCCCCACACAACATTGTAGTATTATCCCTCACACAACACTCTAGCATTATCCCTCACACAACATTGTAGCATTATCCCCCACACAACATTGTAGTATTATCCCCCCACACAACATTGTAACATTATCCCCCACACAACATTGTAACATTATCCCACACACAACATTGTAGCATTATCCCCCACACAACATTGTAGCATTATCCCCCACACAACATTGTAGTATTATCCCCCACACAACATTGTAGTATTATCCCCCACACAACATTGTAGCATTATCCCCCACACAACATTGTAACATTATCCCCCATACAACATTGTAGCATTATCCCCCACACAACATTGTAACATTATCCCCCACACAACATTGTAACATTATCCCCCACACAACATTGTAGCATTATCCCCCACACAACATTGTAACATTATCCCCCACACAACATTGTAACATTATCCCACACACAACATTGTAGCATTATCCCCCACACAACATTGTAACATTATCCCCCACACAACATTGTAGCATTATCCCCCACACAACATTGTAGCATTATCCCCCCACACAACATTGTAGCATTATCCCTCACACAACATTGTAGCATTATCCCTCACACAACATCGTAGCATTATCCCCCATACAACATTGTAGCATTATCCCCCACACAACATTGTAGCATTATACCCCACACAACATTGTAGCATTATCCCCCACACAACATTGTAACATTATCCCCCACACAACATTGTAGCATTATCCCCCACACAACATTGTAACATTATCCCACACACAACATTGTAGCATTATCCCCCACACAACATTGTAGCATTATCCCCCACACAACATTGTAGCATTATCCCACACATAACATTGCTGCGATATCCCCCGGCGCCACTGTAGGCAACAGGAAATATTCTACAATTGAAATTCCAAACAACAAACAACTAGGCCACACAGCCTGATGTAAATGAATCCAAAGATTTGTAGAAGTGAGTGTAAAAATTGACATACCCCTTGATACTGTTTCTGGCACACACAATTCAATAAACAAGAAATGGACAGAGAAGAATGGCTGACTCCATCTTTTTGTTAGTCAATGGTTTCACTTGCCTACTACAGATAAATATGGTGTCTATGAGTGATGAAGCACATATCACACTGATAAGTTTTGTTTGTCATAGCCTAGATATAATACTATGACACTCTGTCTAATCAGACTATGTTTAACCACTGATCTGGCTTATCTGACCCGCTTGCTGACTCATTAAAGCTGAACATCTAAATGAAAACAGTAATTTACCAATTAATTCCAATTTAAATGACTTGAGTTTGTCTCAGTTTTGGGACAGAATCAATAAATTTCCTCACTTGTGCAGACTCTAAACCCAATGATGGAGAGAATCATACACAAATGCCAAAAGAGGAGTTTGGAAACTTAAATCATGTCTTCCCTGTACCCACACATTAAGAAAGAAAGCAAATCTCAAATTCTGAAAGGTTTCCCTCATAAGTCACCTCTCACAAGCTCAGATATTAGTAGCCTCTGACAAGCTCCCACATTAGTTGCCTCTCACAAGCTCCCATCTCAATTGCCTCTACATTTATATAAATTTACAGCAGGCTTACCATCTTTAATTCCCGACAAAAATACTTATATCCTTAAATACCCTCTAAATATACCATTTAAAAAATATTCATAACTTTGATAAAACACAAAAAAATCAAAACCAATCTCCTAAGTGGTTAGAATGTAAAATTAAGTTTACTTTATTACGAGAAAGTTTCTACAAGTAAGCAAACAGAAAATTGTTTACTTGTGTGAAAGAATAGATAAAATACACATTCCTGTTGAGGGCCTCAGCCAGGAACAGAACTAGAGTCTTCAGCATGGTAATCAAATGGCTCTACAAACTAAGCTAAAGAGGCCTGCTTGATCTGCTGAGTAACAGAGCCTGTATTTAACACTATGTACAAGCCACACCCACCTAATCCTTTTACACTTTACTATAAACCTGTTGCTGCCTAAGATATTAAGGTTAGTCCCTTTGAGAACCAATCACAGCAATATAATATACAATGTCATATAAGTAAAAGCAGTCTGCCTTTCACCAAATTAAATTATACTGATTGTTTTGTATCAAATTGACCTGTCTGCTTGTCCACTGGTTAATTCTATCAGCTGATCTTGATGAACCAGTTCTGTTCCACTACAAACCAGACAATAAATGTATCTATGGTAACAAATACATTCAGTCTAGCAATTTGATTTAAAAGCACAACAAATCAATCTGTAATATTTTGTCTTTTTCTTTACACTGCTGCAGTAATTACCAGGTACACAGAATCAGGACAAACTCTAGGTGGTAACTTATCTAAACATGCCACTTTCTCATCTATGTTGTGCTTTTTTCCATGTTTTATTGTTAATCGTGATAACAGGCTAATAAATATAAAGAAATATTACTTCATCCACTGTCTCAATAAACAAAAGATAAAAGATAGTATATAATCTATTATTTCCGAGATTTTATCACAATTTACTCCATCCATCAAGTTCACTTTACTCCTGATCACGTTTATTTCACACCTGGTGTTATTTTACAGTAAAAAATGTTGGACCAATCTTGCCACATTGAATACTGAATGTTGAAAAAACTTCAATCTATTGTGTGTTGACTTCCATGAAAGTAATTTGTAATGTGATCTAAATATTCCAATAATGGTGTCCTATGTTCATCAGATTTATTTTACCCTAAATCACGTTACAACTTCTAAAGTTATGAAAAGATCACAGTAATTAATACCATCATTTATCAAACTGTCTATAACGAGAACATGGGACAATTTGCTAGTCTTACAATTAGGGAGTCAAGATCACATTCTGCATCTAATATCACGGAGTACCTCTAATTCATCCAAATTCCTAGAAAGTTTTTAACATGTTTCTAATCAAAAGGAGGAAAACAAACTTCATATAATCTTAGAAAAGACGTGTCACTAAGTATTGAAAATTTACAGCAGTTTCACAATCCAAATTCTTTTCCTATTTTCTCATATGTCAAGAAAATGAGACATTAAGATCAGGATAAATCATACAGAAGCTGATCTCTCAGTATACAGGACTTAACCAATTACAAAAACAAAGTGGCTATCCCAGTTCTCACCGTTTGTATCATGGATTTAGTACCATGCGTAGCATCTCGCAGGCCTACATTGGAGGCAGCCGGCACCATGGATGGCACAGCATTCTCATAGCCTTTCACACAATGCTGTAAACAATCAAGGAAAGAGAATTTATGTTGTAATTGTACTAGTTTCAGAATCAAGTGGTAAAGCACCATCAGCACTTACCCATCTTCTAACTGTCTGTAGTCACATTGTTTATCAATCTGATAGCTTTCAGGATCAGCTACATAGCAATAAGCTAGGAATACAGTCAGCTATAAATTGGCAGTAAACCTTAATTTGCAAGTCACAGTATAACCATGATATAGAATGCTCAAAATATTGTGTCATTTAAATTTGAAAATAAAATTTCAGAAATCTGAGTTCAGAGTTAATTGGTTCAGGTTTCTTGGGGCCAGTAATATTCACAGTCAAAAGAAATAACATTTTAACTTTTTGTCGAACATTGTCCAACAATTGTTCCTGATATCACTTTAACAAAGTGTTTAGGTCATTTAGTCATTACTGATGATCATTTTCTCCAGGCTAAACATACAAATGAGAAATATGCGACGGCACAATACAATTGTACATGTATTGCTGTGAATTGTTTTCATTGACCATTCATATTTCATGTTTTTTCTAAATCAGAATGAAATTGAATTTATTTGATATGAACATTATTTGTGGAATTCTTGTCAAGTACATCTGCTTTTTTCATCAAGACATTAAATGAAAAAAAATTCAGTTCATTGACGACAATGTATGTATGGTCTTTAAAATCAGTCTGGATATAACCAAGGAAAGATTTTAACAACCTCCATTCATTATAAAAGACTACAGTTCACTACATTTTAACAGCCTTCAAAAGTGTTTTGCTAATTATTTTCCTACAGTGCAGTAACAGTACTTACCCTCGATAAAGAAAATGAATCTGTGTCATCAATACTCTTTCTGCGATGCGGTTTAACCCGGTGAGGAGACAACAAGGTAGACCTTGGAATGCTCACCCTGTAAATCATTGTATACTGATCAACAATTTTCTATGATTTATTATTTATTTCTGTCTACAGCATACATGAAATATAAATCAAAACCTATTGACAGTGTGAAGGTCTGTCAATATTTGTTACAGCTACCAGGGTATCGCCTTTAAAGGTTCCTTATCCTACTGTCTGTACAAGTATACCATACAATAATATAGGTATAAATAAGTAAGGTACAGACAACACCTGTATGACCTAGAATTCATTGTGTCTCATCGTCTTGGCATCACATTTTTTTCCAAAAATAATTTCACTTTTTTTTATCAAACCTATATACCACAAGTAAAGTTTGAAGAAATAATTGAATTTATCAAACACTCCCTTATGAGTTTCACAGAAAATAAGTTTAGCAAGTTACACATCAAATTAATCAAGTTTGATCAATTTTATTTTACATATTTATTAACAAAGATGTCAAGTTTTTTAAAGTATAATTCTGAAAGAAAAACAAATGACATAACATACATCATAGTTGAATTCTTTTCAACATACTATTATGATTGTTATTACAATCTTAACGACCAGTCAACACATGAAAGGTCATTAGGGCCATCAACATGTAAACCACACAGTGATCCAAAACGGAAATAACATCAAACAAACTAAAAGGTAAAAGACATATGCTAAAAGTCTTAAATGGTTATATTATCAAAAAAGATTGAAATGTTAAGTAATAATCTATAATATAGACATCTTTCAGATAACCTAGAATTTTATCAATCTCAACAATTTCAAAACAGGTCTTCAGGTTAGATTAGAAGAGGCCATAATAAGATGACAGTTCTACAACAAAACAGTATAATGTACCCTAGTACCTGACAAATCTGGGCTCCTCAAATGTAGGGGGTTTACTTTTCTTCGTTTCTTTATCCTCGCTGTCTGAGTAGTTGAATACCCCCTGCTTCAGTGGCTCAGTAAACAGTCGGTCGTTAACAGTGTATGGCTTCACCTCTGAAAAATACATGGTTACCTTGTGTTAGCATTATACTCATGTACAACATGGGTTTTTTTTATTGAAATAAAAGAAACAATATTTTATTTTTTACAAACTTCAATCCAAAATGATTCCTAACATTCATTGATAATTGTGTATATCAAACACATAACTGACATTTCTACCATGCATAATTCAATCTGTTTCGAATTACCTTCATCCATCCAGAAAATCAATTAATATCTACTGTAACATTTCATTTGATCTTCAATTACCTACAGGTAGAATGTAACATCTTTTAACTATCCACTTCTCCAATAACAGTAGTGTATTCCTAACAGATACTGATAAGTTTTGTATTTGGATTCCAATCTACATGTACATCATACTGCTGGCAAAACTGAAAGTTTCTGTATGTATATGTCACAACATTTTGTAGCCACCAAAAGTTTCTGTAGGTACATGTAAGAAATTGTCAGAGATTAATAAATAAAACAGATATTGTGAGAAAGTAAGAAATTATGAATAAGTATATATTTAATCAATAATCATTATCACAGTTAAATATTTATTTTCTGTGAAGACCTGACTGTTAGAAACATATTGATGGTTTATTTGTTTGGCTATATTTGTTCATGTTGATTATATAACATTATGTAAGCACTTTAACTAACATTTCTGGCATGCATGTGACTTGGCCATTTCAAATGAAAAAGAGATTGTGTGGACTGGACAGCAATTTTTATGTCTCTAAAACAATAATCTTTTTCAATAGTTATATGTTATTGTAGATACTGGAAACCATGCCAGAAAGATGTAACTTCATGAATATTCAGAAAAATGACAATACAAAAAATCCTTGCAATCTGAAATTGATATCATAAAGTCATTATTAACAGTGAATTGTTCAACAAACAATAATCAAAAACGACAATACTTAATGAAATCCAACAGTGTATCATTTGTTCATAGACTACTATCAACACCAGCAGTCTAAACCTCAAACATGAACATGTAAGTAGCTTTATAAAGCATGCAAATACTAACATTATTGTCAGTAAATCTAAGTACCCCAAGGAGGTGTAGTTAACGTGATTATCAAACTCTTATCTCGATAAAATCAATCTTAATTTTAAAAGATAAAAGACTCATCGTTTGAACTTCTTTCATTTTAAGTTTAATGCAGATAAACTAAATAAACAGCCTTATTGTTACTGGAAAACCCTTAACTCATGTAATATTCAATTAACAGAGAAATTTTGTATTTCGTTGGAAAGACATGATACCAGATTTTTATCACGGCATATGAGTTGTTAACTATGATATCACGTCTTGTCTTGTGGAATCATAATGATAATGTTGACCGATGGAATTGTTTTCAGGAGTTCTAATCAAATATGGGTAACAACACTGATAAATGATCCGACACTCCTTGACCTGGTAATTCTAGACCAACTTTCCTTATATCAATCTGGCATTGATAAATAACTGAACTTGAGACCCATATAATAAAACTTTAAGGACACCTGAACTCAAAAGAATTTGGACAGTTGCAATAAAAATGCAAAGTAGTTATGAGATAACATTATTTTTTTAATGTATCCACTTACTAGGACCAGTTCTGCGCCTTTCTCCTAAGAAACAAATACAAACATTCCTTTATATCAGAGAAAAATTCAAGGTAGAGCCATGTTTATTTGAAATGGTGGACCCTTGTAACACAACAATACAGTTGAAGTCTAGATGTTTACACAAAGAGTAAAGGATCAGTACAAACAAAACGACACTTCTTTTAAAAAAAATAAACAAATATAAAATTCAAATAAAAGCCTCAATTAAGATGTAAACAGAATGATAGGTATGAAGACATGGCTGATAGTTTGAAATCTTTCTGAAAAGTAATAATGCTAGTTTTACTTTTATATCAGAAAACTAAGTGATATCAATTCAGTTTTCTAGCATTCCCCGAAAAAGTTTGTTTTGTAAACTGATTTATATATCATAAGTGTCAAATAAGCAGGAAACTGTATCTACACAGCATATAATATATACATTTCTCATCTGTTGTAAGATAACACATGTTAAGCCCATTAAATAAATAGATGAATAAATAACATATATTTATCATATGATTGCTATATTGTTCCATAAATATACCCATGTTATATTTCTGTGTATGAACCCATATTGAATAAATAAAACTAAATGATATCAAACACTGGCAGATTATATTGCGTGTCACAAATGAGACCATAAATACAATGTATCATCGATATAATATTACTATAGATTCACACTGACTTATGTTTGACATGGTAGAAGAGCATTTTTCAGCAAAAAATCAAAATTTTCAAAAATAAATGTTTTTCTGCTTAAATCAAAATGAAAATTTCCCAAAAATAATTGATCATGGTATGCAATTCATGAACTTTGTCAAAATTTTTGCAATTTAACTTTTAAAATGTTGTCAAAAAGGAAAATTACTCACATTTATTTCATACAAGATGGAACAAATGAGACGGAAACTCATGTAAGATACTTTATAGTGGTACATACACAGCAATTCCATCAATTTAAAATAAAGCAAAAACTAATACCAACATTAGGAGGAAAGAGTTTCAACTACATGTACATATGTCTAAATACAAATATGTCACTGCATCACACTTACTCGTTTCCTCCAAGGCCTCAGCTACAGGAGATGGTTCACGGTCTCTGCTGGCTAATAGATCATCAACACCACTGAAAAAAGAAATGTTTTTTGCTGTAGAGACAGTAATCAAAACATGCACATCAAAACATGTGGTCAATTCAATTTGTGATTTTTTAAAATTTTCTTGTTTAATGTTTTCTTATATTGTAAATCATTGTTTGACATTAGAAAAATAATATCAATACCCTGTTTTGTGTATAAAATGTACCTGAATTTGAAATTAAAACCAGTTTCAAACAAATATTTCTAACTGCTTATATTACAATGTTATCAATCAAAACAAAATCAGTTATAAGAAAACAAATTAAACAACAAAGATAAATTTTGAACTTTAATTTCACAGTATTTAACTTCTATCTCTATAAACACATTATATTTGCGTTACAAACAGCTTTGCAATTCAATAAGAAAATACTAATTTTTCTTGTCAAGAAAACATGTGTGATGATAATAAAGCCTATCTAATTTCAAAGAAATCAGTCAAAAACTGGAAGAGTAAAAAGTCAAATCAATTAAATGACAAACCATGCTTCCCAAATGAATGTTGAAGTCCAGGCAAAATTTCTTATTTGCACATAGAATTAATTCAAGGTCAATACTCAGATAAAAGAAAGAATAAGAGATAAAACACTTGCCTAATAAAAGTGTTAACTGATACTGTATTAGTGAAAATAATTTTTTGTGTGAACTAACAGATCTTGTGTTATTAATCATCTTCAGTTTATGTATGTTAAATATAATATCAAACATATGAACTGTTCTCAATATTCAATATATATAATGACATGTTAATTTGGTAATTTTAACCAACAGTAGTCCCCTCTGGTATTTCTGCAGGAGGATGACTTATTTCTTGATAAACATTTAGAGATTTTAAAGGAACTGAATGACTTTAAGAAAAACGAAAGAAAGAAAATGTGTGTTGAAAAGCAGTCACTCACTCCATGTAAAAGTTGTTAACACATTCATCCCTGTTTATACGTCGGAACTCTCTCAGTTCCTCAAAGTAGTCTTCGGAATGGTCCATCGCTCCACGGTCATTGTCAAGCAAAGCTGCAATCCAGTCATAACCAAGAAGATGGCGATCCATATCAGGCACGCTCACACTTCCATCCCGTGATGAAAGAAAGCTCACTTTATTGAGGGACTAAAGAAGAAAAAAAATGATAAATGCTATTTGATTCAAGATTTAAATAATATATTAAACAATATTTATTAATTACTAACTATCTTGTAGATCATATCAACATTCTTTAGTTTCATTCACTAATGAAATTTTATGTCACTACTTATAAAGACTAAGCCATTTTTGTTAGCTCCTTGAATTATGTTCTGCATTCAATCTATATGACCGACATTTTGTAGTTTAATAACAGAATTTCTCTACAATGTACCTAGAATATATCATTACACAAGCATCTTGCAATAAATTGTAGAACATATTAGAATTACGATATGTAAGTATTTCATATTATTCAAATTGGCACTTTAATTACATTTACTGACATTTAATTCATGTAATCAATTTTAAATTTGAAAACTGAAATGGCTGAGAGACATGTACAGTGCATTTCATAATTTATTATCAGCATATCTCAAAATATATCGGGAACCAAAACATTACCTCTAAATCAAAGATTACATCATATGATACTACAGTAAATGTGTCATATCAGTGTCTTATTACCAAGCATGGGGTTACTGAAATATCAATGTGGTTTGTTGTTTGGTTTTAACTCTTTCATACCCTTTTCAGATCCTTTGGTCCAGTTGTCAGGAGAATTGATTTTGGTTTGCTCATGGTGTCTCTGATGAAGTTGGCCACCTTCCTGTCATTCCCAGCTGACTGTAACATCCTTTCATGGTCAGCAGCATTGTTGTTAGACTCTACTTTACCTATATCAGTATCTTCTGGGTGGTCACCAAACTTTGATCTCAGGTAGTTGATATCACTTTCATCAAATTTGGAGTAACTAAAATTTAATCTTGATTCATCATCCTCCCTACATAACTCACTGTCATTAAACTTTGAATCAACTTTTACATTTTTGTCGATTATTTTCCTGCGTATCTTCACTTCTGTATCTCTGTCAGCATCACACGACCTGTCAACCTCTGATCTCAAATTTGACAACTGTTTACATAGCCTGTCATCAGCATCAACTACTTTTGGAGCAGTGAGACTGTTTTCACTCTCTTTAAGATCTAATTCTTTGTCACCAACATCTTGTTTTCGGTTTTGGGTATTGAGATTATTTGAGTCTGTAAGCACACCATTACATAATTTGTTTGTTTTTTCCCCATTTGACTTTTTTCTGCTATTTTGCCTGGCTCTAGCGAGCTGCTGTCGAGCTCGAGGTTGTTCATTAATTGTTCTCTTTTCTACAATTGTGGAGACATCTAACTCTGCTTCCCTCGAGGAACATTTCTTTCCTCCAGACTTTTCTGTATTGATGTTTTTGATATTTTTATGTGTGATTTTTCCCTTTAAATTAGTGTCTTCATCAGATTGGTAGTTGACTACATTCTGAAGTTTGCCTTGTCTTGCCTTCAAACGCTGCAAAAGCACTTTGCTCTGAGCTCGTAGCTGTTCATCAATATCCATCTCTTTGGCTGCCTACACCTGAATAATACAAGAATATTGGTGGATCTATGAAACTCCACACAAAAAATGACTTTATAAAACACAATATTTTACCAAAGGACAATAGTTCTATAATTAAGGGGTCGACAGCAATGAATTTGGTATTAGCAAATTCTCTTAATATGACTAATGTATGCACCAAGTTTCATCATCCTAGTCTTAATGCAAATAAAGCTATTTTCATGGCACAACCATTTAACAAGAACAATAACTCTGAGTGGTTTGCTACACTGCATCTTGCTTTTGTATGACTGATGAATACATCACCTTTCAAAATCCTAGTTTAAAAGCAGGCAAAGTACTATTCCTTCAGACACAAAATTTTGACAAAGGGCAATAATTCTGTAATTAATGGGGTTGATGGCCCTAATATTGGTACACTGCACATTGTCTTTGTTTAATCCATGTATACACAGAGATTCATTATCCTACCTTAACTGCAGGCAAAGTTATGCTGTGAACAAGAATTTTTTAACAAAGGGCAATAACTCTAGGGTAAAGGGACCCTGAATTTGGTAGAGTTCACATTTTCTTAGTATGATCAATGTATCATCCATGTTTCATTATCCTAGTTAAAATACAAGCAATTTTAAATTTTGCTCGAGACACAAAATTGTATCAAAATACATGTTAAATATACCAAAAATTCTTGAAGAGCATAAAAACTGAAATCCTTAATTAGGTGTTCAGTGAAATAGTAAAACAATGACAGATTCTAGAAACCATATCAATGGTGGCTTGAATTATAACTACATAATCCTGTAGGCATGTATCAGGAGTACACCAGGCTTAGGTATACACATAAATCTCTGATGAATCAATGTCAAATACTAACATCTTTATAAATTTGTAGACTTGAGTGTGTCAATGAACTTTTTACATTGATACCTATGCTACTATTTGTCCTTTACATATAAGAGGTAAAAGTCTACCTGATTGCATTGACAGATTCCGTTACAAGGTGCCCGTCATAAGTTTCTCGCTGTGTCGAACTGCTAACATTGTTGGAGTACATTTCTTTATGACATTGATACAATAATATGCATTACCATGGACTAGCACATGTTCTATTATCAATTTGAAATAGTCACTACACACTTGTATTGGAAAATTGAAACTGCAATAACAGCATCAATAATGCCAAAAAAAAAAGGTTCCATTTCGGTTTGCTTCACACAGACGTTACATAACGACTGAGACATGTATGCATGAACGTCATTTTCAGTTGGAATCTTATTCCATGTTCACTGTCGTTTAGCTTTAAACTTACCTTGTATCAAAACAATATTTCACTTTATTTTATTCGTAACTTGTCTGTCCGTCCTGCCTGCCAGATTGTTAATATCACTAAATGAATTTTCTATCGTTCCCGATCACAATTAATCAGTTACACACATTCAAATTCCCTAAAGTGTCCATGCCGTGCACTTGATGCATCAGAACACTACAATAGGCCTAAAGGTCTCTAATCTGAATCTCGACTCGGCTGAACATGCACACACAAGTTTCATTAAGTAAGCGTTATTAGTAACGTAAAAAATAACTGATGGAGTAAAGAATTTTCATTGTAAAATGGTGCATAAATACCATCCATGTGGAAATAATACCTGAAATGTTAGCTCTCCTTTTCAAATACTGCAATTATTACAATTTCGACTATGCATCAAAAGACAATTACAGACATGTCCTCCATTTTGGCCGCGTAGATTGAAACAGGTCACATGATTTTTTCCCCTACTATCATTGGTCAAATTATCAGCGCATTCGATGGATATTTTTTCGGTGTGTTCGACAACAATGCATAAATATCCATATATGTTGATAATTTGGGTAATTGGTAAAATGTGGTATTTATCGACATTCCCGTCTTTTAAAATGTACAGTGCTAGATAAAAATCGTCGACAGTAATCAGGAAAATTTGTACAGTAACATGTATATTCCATCGTAAATAACAGTGAAAATGAAAGTAGATCAATGTCATTGAAATGTTTGTCTAGGGAACTGCACGTTGTCTTGAACTTGGGCGTAGATATGTAGGCTTCGGAATTATAGAGATGATCTACTTTAAGAAATCTCAGATTCTAATATTAATTGTTGGATGCATCTTCGTATACATTCTTTTTAACTTTTGGCCGTGGTCATCAACAACTTTTACGACGAACAATCGGGTTTACTACAGACACAATGACAAGGAGAAGACCACAAAAGATAGGCCGAAGACTACAACAAAGCGGGACGTTGTGCGGAAGAAACTTTACAACATTGATGTCATTATAACCTTTAGCAAGGCTAAAGATAATAGAGGACTACAACGAAATTTTGAAGTAACGGTATCCTCCATATTCAAATGGGCCACTGTACCTCTATCACTATATATCATTGGAGATGATGAGAGCAAAGGTCTTGCTGATCGCATCATAGAAGAAGCAGCAAGTAAATACAACGCAAAGTATACGGTAATACGGAAATGTGAAATCATCTCTTATATCTACCTTACTGTTACACAGCAAGGGTTTGGGCATCCAATCAACAATCAACTAGTGGAAGTCATTTCATCATATTTAACAGTGAAGATCCCTGAAAGAATAGAATGACTTATTACAATACATGATAAATAAAACTCACCTTATACACATATATATTTACAGTGACATCCTGTTACTGGCAGTTTATACTTGTTATGTAATATGAATACAAAATAAATATTAGATATAATATATACAGACCTGTAGCTTATATTATAAATATGCTACACATTACTTACATATATACATCAGGGAAACAAAGATTGAACAACAAAGCTGTGGAAGTTTTTATGGACTGATTTTCAATTAGTGTTGCAGAATAAATAGAATACACAGTCACTGTCTTAAAATAAACTGCATTTTTACTCTTGACGGGAAGATAAAAGTGGCTCACCACTTTTCCTTTCTTCACCCTTGCCAATATACAACTTACATTTTAAGACACTGATCATGCATTCTCTATTCATATGTTACTCAGCTGACATCCTAATACTCTCATGATGAAATTTATATCTATACCTTCAAGGTATGTATTGTGTATAAGAAGAAAAATGATTAACTCAATGTACTGTACAGAATTGCTGTATTTTTGCAGATGGTATCTTTGGACGTGGAGCACTTAGCAAAGGAGTTACATGAGATTGTGAAGGAGATGCAGCCTTATTTCAGTTACAAACCAGGTGCCTACTATAGCGATGCCCTTTTCTTCCTCTCTATGGCACTTCATAAAGTCTTACCACTGACAGTTACCAATGTTATCATGTTGGATGCAGACCTTAAATTCAATGCTGATATAGCAGAACTGTATGAAGAGTTTTACAAATTTTCAGATGCCAATGTTATGGGCATTGCCCGTGAGAACCAGCCAGTATATCGCCACACTTTTTCACTATATAGATCAAAACACCCTGGTACTCGTATTGGAGACCCACCCCCAAGTGGTCTGACAGGCTTCAATAGTGGCGTGCTGCTACTAGACCTGGAGAAGATGAGAAATTCAGAGCAGTATAACTCCCTACTGACTGCAGCTTCAGTGAAGTCTCTAACCACTAAATTCTCATTCCAAGGTCACCTGGGTGATCAGGATTTTTTCTCCCTGGTTTCCATGGAACATGAGAACTTGTTTTACATTTTACCATGTACATGGAATAGACAGTTGTGTGAGTGGTGGAGAGACAAAGGTTACCAGGATGTGTTTGATCTTTATTTCAAATGTGAAGGTAAAATCAATATATTTCATGGGAACTGTAATACAGCTATCCCTGTATTAGACTGGGAAAAGGTGACATAGTACGTGTAATTATAGTGGACAGATACAAATATATCATACTAAATTCCATTACACTAGTGTTTCTCAACACAGGGACTTGGCACAAATTCCTATCCCATAGTCCATATGTATGTTACATAGTGACATATATATTGACTGTGGGTTTGGAATTTGTGTCAAGTCCCTGTGGTTTCCAAGATATTGGTTCAGACTCACTTCATGAATCAGTTCATCATGTTTAAAGCGATCTGCTCTAAATATCATTATAGGAAAGCAGTTAATTCATATAAAAAATTTTATTATCATTTTCAATCTCTCATTGTTAGAACTGTTGTAAACTGCACTTAGTGAAAAAGACAAAGGGCCTTGTGCGGCTGCTACCTGTATGGTAAGAGTTGCAGCCCTTTGTTTATTTTCACCAAAATTGTGTGTCTAAATTCAGGTACGTGTTCTAACCAAAATATTGTGTGATACAAGATTAAGATATATTATAAGTCTTTATTGATCTTTATCGAATATTTTTATACTTACAATAGAAAGATTTTAGTTTATTGTTTGTTATGCAGTGAGGGACCACAGATTTATGATTTATACAATTTTTAACAAGAATTTCTATATCATTGTATATTACATGTTAATATACTTGTACTTGTTGCAAAATATCCACACATCCACAGAACACTGACTTGTAACCAGTCAACTAACCGGCCAAACAAAACAAAAACCTCATTTAACAATATTTCTGGCCCACCATCATCAGATGGTGGGCTCTTCAAATCACCCTGCGTCCGTGGTCCATTCGTCGTCTGTCCGTCAACAATTTTTATTATGGCTATTTTTTGAGAAGTACTGGATGGATCTTTCTCAAATTGCATATGTAGGTTCCCCTTGGTCCCTGGTTGTGCCTGTTTAATTTTGGGACTGATAAATAAAACAGAAATTTTGACAGGCATCCATCTTGGAATTTTTCAATGAAATTTGCTATCACTATTTCTTGAAAAGGAATAAATGGATCTCTCAAATTTCAATTGTAGGTTTCCTTTGGTCTCTAGTTGTGCCCATGTAATTTTGAGACTGATCAGAAAGAAAAATGGCTGAAAGGTGGCCATCTTGGATTTTGACTTTGCAAGTTTGTTATCAGTATTTATTAAGAAGAACAGGATGGATCTTTCTGAAATCGCATATTTAGGATCCCCTTAGATCCCTAGCTATGCCCATTTGATTTTGGGTCTGATTAGAATAACAAGATGGCCAACAGGTGGCCATCTTGGATTTTGCCTTTCAAATTTATTATTGCTCTCTCTTGAAGTAGTTGATGGATCTTTCTTAGATATCTTATGTAGGTTCCTCTTTGTCCCAAGTTGTGCCCATTTGATTTTTTGGGTCTGATCATAAAAACAAACTGATGAAAAGGCAGACATCTTGAATTTTGACATTGAAAGTTTGTTCTCACTATTTCTTGAGAACTACTCTATAGCTCTTTCTCAAATTTCATGTATAGGTTCCTTTAGGTCCCTAGTTGTGCCTGTTTGAGTTTTAGACAGATAAGAAAAACGAAATGGCTGACAGGCAGCCATCTTGGATTTTGCCTATTAAAGATTGTTATTGCTGTTTCTTAAGAAATACTGCATGGATGCCTCTCATATTTCACACATATGTACCCTTTGTTCTCTCCTTGTTCTTCTTTGATTTTGGGACTTATCAGAAGAAACAAAATGTCTTTTAGACGGCTATTTTGTATTTGGCAGGTAAAGATTATCATTGCTATCACTGCAAAGGAATGTTATTAGTCTTATAATTAAGAGCAAAAACAAAGAAGAGTAGAGAAAAGAAAGGAAAAGATCCAACTTTCAAAGAGCATATAAAGATCAAACAATGGTTGGTGCCAAGATCCCTCTGGGATCTCTTGTTTATATTTTCGCCACAAAGAATATTGAGATAATGTTTTCAGTTTCCCCTGAAGATATGTCTTCTGACTGTGTGTTGATATGTAACTTCTACCATTTATTTTCTGATTTCTGAAAGTGTAGCATTCATTAAACTGGACCTTATGGTGATAGATTTGATAACATAAAGGTAAAGGTGACCTATATTTCAACTTTAAAGACCTTGCATGGTTATATTTAGATGCTGTGCTTTGGTATTGATCTCAGTAAGATTTTGTGTTACGCTCAAATTTGATCTAACGTCTTGATGAGAAAGGCATAGAAGTATTGATTAACATTTACAAATAATTTTCTACAACATATGAACTGTATCTTGTTCCATTCTGACATCCTAAATTTACATAATACAAAAGTGCCTTCAATTTTAGATATGATGTTACTTTCATCATTAAGAGAACCACCGATTTTAAGATCTGCAGCATTATAAATGCTGTTACTATTGTTATGAATTATATGTTGGCCATACTGGTAAAATATTGAGAACTAGAAGGATGGTTCATCACCAGCAAATTTGATCTCGTAGTCTAGACCCTGAAATCGTAATTGACACATTTATGATTGTAGACGTGATTACCTCAGAGTTTTTCCTTCATAAAATATGAATGCTTCAGATCACATGACCTGGAGACAAAACAATAAGAATTTATTAGCCAATTATAACCCCATTTGAATAGTGTAGAATGCTAGTTTTTGTTACCATTTCCATCTGTGCACCTTTAAATTTCATAATTGTTACTGATATGCTGAGGTGTCATTCGTTGTTCTCTTACATCATCATCCCTATGACATCTCTATAAGGTCCAAATAAACATTCTGAAGAGCTCCCGTGGTGGAGTGAAAATGTTACATGTGTGTCTGTCTTTTTTTAGTGATTTTCATGTGCATATGTCTGATTATGGTGTTGATTTCAGTACATTTTGTATAATTTTATTTTATATTTTGAATTGTCAGCTCCATATTGTTTAAATACAGTGTACGTACAAATCAACACCATCTGAAAGAGATCATAGTCATATTTGTAATTCCTAACTAAACAATAGATGTTGATGGTGGATTATCAATAAAGAGAAAAAAGTTCTTAGTACATCTTAATAAAACTGCATGTTGGAAAATAAAAAGAGGTGAAGGAGTCCAACATTCTGTGAGTGGTACTAGTTGGTAGATGTATCGATAGAAGAATATAATTGTTGTAGCTGAAAATATTGACATAATGATAGTAAAAAATAAAGAAAGACATACAGTACTATGAAAGAGATGTTTACATCAAATTGTGAATGTTTGTAAAGGTGCTTTATTGTATCTTGATGGGGCAGTTACCAGCAGTCCATGATATGAGCTAACCTAGTTTTGTGAAATACATGTCTATTTAGTAAAGGACACATCAATAACAGTTTTATAGTAACTGTGGTACAGCAGCATAACTTACATTAATTGTGAGACAATAACAGTGGTATAACAACAGTTTTATAGTAAATGTGGTATACCAACAAAGGTATGATAACAGAGGTAAAGTTACAAATTGTACACATACAACGGCATACATGTAGTAAAATTTCTATAGCAACAGTGGAACAGAAAACCATGATATAGGAACTGGTATTTTTACAGTGATGTACTAAGTGTGGTAAAGTAACAGTGGCATACCATCAGTGGTGTAGTAGATGTGGTAAAGTGACAGTGGTATTCTATCAGTGGTGTTGTAAGTGTTGTAAAGTAACAGTGGTATACTATCAGTGGTGTAGTAAGTGTGGTAAAGTAACAGTGGCATACTATCATTGGTGTAGTAACAGTGGCATACTATCAGTGGTAAAGTAACAGTGGTATACTGTCAGTGTTGTAGTAAGTGAGATAAAGTAACAGTGACATAATATCAGTGGTGTTGTAAGTGTTGTAAAGTAACAGTGGCATACTATCAGTGGTTTAGTAAGTGTGGTAAAGTAACAGTGGCATACTATCAGTGGTTTAGTAAGTGTGGTAAAGTAACAGTGGCATACTATCAGTGGTGTAGTATCAGTGGCATACTATCAGTGGTGTAGTAAGTGTGGTAAAGTAACAGTGGCATACTGTCTGTGGTGTAGTAACTGTGGTAAAGTAACAGTGGCATACTATCAGTGGTGTAGTAAGTGTGGTAAAGTAACAATGGCATACTATCAGTGGTGTAGTAAGTGTGGTAAAGTTACAGGGCATACTATCGACTTTGTAGAACAGAAGGAGAGTCTGATAGGATAACAGCTCTCATAACTTTGTTGCTTTGAATATATTTAAGGCGAGGTAGATAGCTCGCGCTTCCGCCGAGAATATTAGGCGTTGTTCGGTATCCGACATCCATAGGTTTCATCTTGTGAAAGCATGGCTGCGTCAACCTTATCATCTTTCGAACCATCGGGATATAAATGTAGAAATATTTTATATGTTTTAACTGTGATTTCGAGAAGGATGAACGAAATGTGTAACTGTCTGTGTCGGATTAAATCATTCCATGAAGTGAAAAGTCAACTTCAGGTGAATTCAAGAGCCAGGGTGAAATTTCTATTGTTTCAAATGACTGAATTTTGTCAATATCAATATTTGTGTTGTGTAAAAGGGCGGAAATTCGAATGCTGACTGATGGAATGGTTTTGGATTCGTTTTGAAACAAGGTTTTATATTTTGGATCAAATACAAGTGAAAAGCAGGATTTGAAGGAATTGACTTTAGCTGAATGGTGTATTGCAAAGCCAATTTATTTTGATGATTATATAGTGATGGTTTGTTAGCCTCTACATAGTAGGTGCGGTCTTAAAAGCTCCGAGAGCGAGTCCGAGACCTTGGTGATGAACAGATTCTAATAATTTGAGATATGAAAGTTTATCAGATCCATACACGATGGAATCATAGTCCAATTTTGATCTAATAATGGTTCTATAGAGTCTAAGCTAACTCCAATCTGTGTGGGACACAACCTTTAGAATATTCAGTGCCTAAAGACATTTGACTTTAAGGTATTTTATATGTGGAAGGAACAATTTCCTGTCGAATTTTACACCTAAGAATTTCGTTTGCTCGACAATTGGAATGGGTACACCACAGAGAGACAGATTTGGTTCGTTTCCGAATTTGACAAAAATGCATACAAACTGTTTTTGATTGTTAACATTTAAAACTATTTTC